GAGATAAACTAAATTTGGTTTGATCCTTGGTAAATGTCTCGACCAAAATGATTCATCGCAACAAAATGTTGGGTAAAATGCTTCTGAAAAGATGTATCCATTATGTATCTATAATATGTAATTACATGTACATCTGTAAAGTTGAATAATGACGTTACTGGCACTATAATATGAAAGCAAGAGGGAAAGAAAGAACGATATTTTACAAGGATACGAATTTACCAGCTTGTCCATGGCTTTAATCTTTCCCGGATTATCTGAATCAATTTAAGACTGGGTCGACTGGAATATAAAGGTAAGATGACTTATTCAAGGTCATTTGTCGGAAGTGGAGAAATATCGTCATGCGCAGTTGCTTTTTACCATGCATTGTACAGACAGGATACAAATTTACCAGCTTGTCCATGGCTTTAATCTTTCCCGGATTATCTGAATCAATTTAAGACTGGGTCGACTGGAATATAAAGGTAAGATGACTTATTCAAGGTCATTTGTCGGAAGTGGAGAAATATCGTCATGCGCAGTTGCTTTTTACCATGCATTGTACAGACAGCGATATTTGGCAGCGTTCTGTTACTCTAAACAACATGATGTTACATGAATTATTTCTGGTGTGCTTGTCATCTGGTCGCAGTGTGTCTGGTGGTATTGACTTGCAATAGTTTTTACATTTAAAATGTGTCGAATTCTCGCTCAATACTGAAAAATATATCAGAAAAGTTTGCTAGAATGGTGTCTGTTTAAATCTTTGTAAATAGACTCGGTTTAACAGTCGCCGTAAATGTTTCTTCTCTAATGTTTTAAAATGTGGCTGTTCAAGACGAAATAGAGAGTTACTTTCCATTTGACGACGGACTTACGACAGTTTTTAAAAGGGGGTTTTATTTTTAAAAACGGAATCCTTTTGCACCGTACGAAGGTTATAATTACGGCAATACAGTACGTTTTCGGCCAGGCTCGTAGCTACAAGGGGGAGGGGATGGGTGTGTGGAGGAGGGGGTAATGTCACCCCCCAAAAATGGATTGCTCCCCTGATATACGACCAACCAACAAACCAATTCCATTACTGCAACTTAACACCACCATACCCCATTGCCCCTCCGAACTATCAAATCTGTTTTCTGTACAGAATCTTGTATCAAACTATCCAAACTAGAATGTCCTTCCTGATAAGTAGGCTATATTCCTATTAATTGTCAGGTGTAAGGTTAAACTTGCTTTTAGTCCCTTTTCTGAAACTTCAACCACAAAGTCTTAATCACTTATAATCTTTATAATTTAGCCGATCAATAAACCCGCTTGACCTTTTTAAAATCAATACAAAATGGCCATGAGATTTTTTTGACAGGGCTGTTTCTGCCAAAATTGATTTAAATGATTGTTTGATTAGTAAGATATATTTGAGAGTTACAGCCCCTTGTTAAATAATACTACGCTACAACAAATAATCCCCTGTCGTACTTTTGGTTTACGTTAAAATAACATTGAACTTATTCCCGTTTTTTCAATTATTTCAAAATTGTCAAAAATTGTCGTTGTTATTCTTTGAATTAGAATCAATTTAAACAATGAATTAAGTTATACTTCCTCAGAAATCCTCCATTTTAAATTCTCTTTAATCTTGTAGAATGGGAATATATTTTTTTTTCGTTTCGTCCAAATTTGTTTCATCTCAATTGTAATGAGATACAACACAGAGATAGTTTTCACTGGTACAATAGTGCAGATCTGTGCACTTTGGTGAAAATTATGTGAAAATGAGATTCAAATTTTTTTAGCAGACTTACCCGGTGTTATTACAACAGAATCCCTGTATAATCTGATTAATCCATAAAACTAAGTAATTATTGAAGTCAAAAACGCTCCATTTTGAGAAATTGTATGTACATTCTACGAGGAAATTGGAGAAAGGATAACTTTATAACATTTGGTAATATATCAATTTATTTTTTATTGTGAACGAACGTGGGATTTTATACTGATAAGTTTTACAGGATGCCAAAATTCCAACATGTGTTCAGAAAAGAAACTAACAGTAAAGTCCAAAGGAATTGCATGAAAAGAGATGTTTTTGTTCTTCAACAATACCCGTTTACTTCCCAAGATATATTCCCAAAACTTTATTTTTCCCACCCATATAGAAACATTTTTTAAACCAAAAAAATCAGTTAAATTAAATCTTTCAACGCGAGTCTGTAGATTGTTGAACGTGATTCACGACGGAATAATGTGTGAAACTAAACAGAATTGACAAATACGTAAAAGTATTGTCTTTTTTTTTCTTTGAAAATCATACATATTTCACATGATAGTGTAAGTTCCTTCAAATACAAATATATCTACGGCTTTACTTAAAGTACATCTTGACTTTTTTGTGGGTTACACTTTTAGCCAGATTCAATGGCAGTTTTGAGGGTGAAGCAGTGTTTGGAAATTCAAAGATTTAACTTTCCAGAATCGATGATAATCCCGAGGATTCGCGTAGTATGTCGATAAGTATTACGTTTCCAAAGTTTGCACAAAAATAGCGGAGAGAGTGTAGCTTTAAATGGCGAACCACTGACATCTCTTATTCTAGCCTACGCCAAAAAAGAAATTGAGGATTTAGATAAAAATACGCCTTGACATGGTAGGTAACAATATAGAATCACAGCCGACAAACCGGAAATAAAATACAACGAAATGCACAAAACAGTGTCTGCTTAGGTAACGATATTAACCACGACCGACAAACCGGAAGTAAAATACAACGAAATGCGAAGAAAGTGTCTGCTTAGGTAACGATGTAAATCACGACCAACAAACCGGAAGTAAAATACAGCGGAAAGCGGAAATAGTGTCCACAGACACCAGGCTACGTCCTTTAATTCAAGATAGATGCTGAATACTTGCTGAAGGTCCTCGAAAGCTTAAGATGTTATTAGTCATGCTTTCATCATATACAAACATTCCAAATATTTAGGTCTGGAATACCTTTGACTGTGAATGTTAAATACTGAGGTCTGAAATAAGCGACACAAATGTTTCTGTTACATTTACCAAATTCCAAAAGTAATGAATTTTTCTCTGAAAACTGTTTACTGAACGCCCTTCCAAGTCGTATAAATATATAACTTAAACGCTAAAAGATGAAAGCTGGGTCATATCTTTAAAATGTCAAGCAAGAACTGGCGTAGTTAAAGGGAACAGTTGATTTAAATCAGGGATTTTCTACTTAGGGTTAATTACTCGCAAAGGGGATAAGTTTGGAATTTTTGGAGGGTAATGAGAAGCTTTGTAGTCTAGCATAAAACTTTTGAACAATTAGGACTTACGTCGTTTTATTCGGTCAGGTTATATTCTTCGACTCGAAACAGATTGCAGGGAAAACTTAGGATAAGATGACGAAATCGAAAGATTTATATAGGGGAAAGGTGGCAATAGTAAGGATTTATAAAGAAAAGGGTGTCCGTGCAATCGATCAAGAATCCTAGACGAAAAACCCTGAATTAAACAATTATTCATTATTATAAGATCAAAGTAAACCAATGCTGGTAAAACCCTGGATGATCAATAGTTGTCTAAACTTCAACAAACTGTTGGCTCTGTCAATTAAAAATAAAACAGAAAAACATCCATTGGGAGAATTTGTATTGAATTTAGAGCAACATTCTTCAGATGTTATTCAACTAGTTTCTTTACATCTAAAGGGCCATCACATCATAGCGATCACCGGTTTTGTATAGTTGAAAATAAGAATAGCGGTCATAAGTTTCGAACGCGTGAGTTGCGTTGGGAGCTCATGATTACTTTGATTATTCACAACTATATGCAACTGGTAATCGCTTTGGTGTGAGAGCCCCTTTAGATACAATGAAACTAGTTGAATTACATAGCTTACTCGGTATATCATAAGATAGTGTCCCGCCCTAGAATTAAGTAGATTACAGTATGCAAAATCATGATTAGCGACAACCAACAATTACCTTGGCCGTGATTCAACTAATTAAACAAGTCATATATTTACTCTTTAAAACCTTCTCATTGCCCTTTGACATTGACAAGATATCAGTATGTCTTTAAAGTAACAACATCAAACATGCATTCTGTACAAAACCTACAAAATTACACACAGTGAGAGAAAATGTTATCTCACAGCTGTTATTTAAAAGCTAACCCTCAAAGCCACCTTAAAACTTTCTCAATGCCCTTTATATTGACACGGTATCAGTTTGTATTTAAAATAACAACATCAAACATGCACTTTGTACATCATCAGTGACATGCCGACTGTAAATAGTAAATACTAGTCAATAGTAAATTGTAGAAATAGAAACCAAATATCACACAGTTACAATAATCTTACAATAATCACCAATAAACTCCAAACAGTTCATTTAAACTCAACTAACAGTAGATTACTACCTGGTGTCATTACTATATATCCTGTATAATCCAATCAACCCATAAACCTACAAGTAGCCTAGTCCTTTTAATACTACTAGTCCGTTGTAAAAGTGTATGTTAGATGGCAGGTTAACGCCAGCTTCCAGCTTACTGATATCGGAACTGATGGTTTGGTAGTTGAGAAATCGTAAGAGCTGGTCGCGGGGTCAAACGAAAATATAATTCCTAAATTCAAAATCTCCCTATTACTGACATTGGGTGCTCACTCTGCAGTCCGCGTTCAAATGGCTGTTTGTCAATAAAAGTTTTCCGTTACATAAAGAGTCTATAATAATACTGCAGTTTTACAAATAATATACAATTACAATGTCTGCGGAGCTTACTCTGCGGTCCGCGTTATTACAGCATTAAAGTTTAAACATTAACCGTTTAGTTTTTTTCCTTTCTTCCGCACCGGGATGAAAGCTTGGTATATGTTTCAACATTAAGTAGAACCATGAGTGGGAACGTTGGTTCAAATATTAACAGTGGAATGCTTGACCTCTGAGGTTTCGTTCCTGGACTTCATTGGAACACGAAGCAAGTATTGTTAAATCCCAATTTCTCTATTACAGAATGTGGTGTGGCTGTTTCAAAGATGATAGTTGGTGGTACCCCATCTCACGGTGGTCGTTGGCCGTGGGTAGCATCGTTACGACTGACATGGGCTAATAGACATGTCTGTGGGGGCACCTTGGTTCATCCTCAATGGGTAGTAACAGCCGCTCATTGTGTTTTTGGGTAAGTTTTTTATTGTTAAGTGTCTTATCGGTTTCAAGTTTTCACAAGTCGAAAAGCGTTATCAGCTGATAGTGGTGTGTTGTTTCAGTGGATCTGATATCAACCAATGCAAACTGCTCTTCGTCTCGCTACCGCAAAGATAAAAAGAAACTGTTTGACCAAATTAAATAGCTTTTATTATTCTTTGAAGGACGATGTGCCATGGTACAACCATCAGTTATTGAATCAAGTACCTTCAGGTTAAGCACATACTTTTAATGGTGCGATATGTTGGATATATCTTTTTTAATCTCAGAGTAAAAATTGGAGAAGAAATTCGGCTAAGGACAAATGACTTTTGAATTACAGGTCCCAGTTTGAGAAGGCATCAGATTGGAGAGCTATACTTGGTGAAACTCATGCTGGTAATGCCGGTGCTCAATTACAAAGAGAGGTAGACTTGATCGTTAGGGTAAGTTTTATAGTTTATTACAATTCATTTCTCAAGCTTTCTATACGTTTTAAGTCCTGATATTTGAAAATGAACCCGATTTTATTTTCAAACGAAATGTTTGGGAAGTTTTTATCACAAACGTGTCACCACACCTGTCATTTGTACATTAATTTTGTAAAGATATCATCCACTATTTAACCTTTCAGCATCCCGAGTTTGTAAATGGTGGTAACTATCCTAATGATATCGCTATGATGAGGTTAGATAAAGCGGTAGACGTTTCCGGATTGTATATCCGCCATGTTTGTTTACCCGAACGGGATGCCAACTTTCAACCGGAAGACTCGTGTTGGATTATGGGGTGGGGTGAAACGAAAGGTACGTCTATATACCAGAGAGGTGAGATATTCCATAAAAATAGATGTGAATTTCTCCTCTTTTTTCTTTAATATTTTCCATTTCTTTACTAAATGTGACATTGGAGACTACTAAGCAAGCCTTTGTCAACCAGTTTCTCAGTTTAATTTGCTCTCTGTAGATATGCAGTTGATTTATATGTGTGTTTGAGCAAATGGACAGTATTACTTCAAGGCCTTGCTGAAGAAGCCTTAGTGGCACACTTTAATTCAGTGACAAATGGGACTCCAAGGATTCAAACATTGAGACATGCCCCTTACACCCATTCATCCAAATTCAGCAAGGGCGTCAATGGCAAATTTCAGCTCTCAGTCACTAACGTGCATCAGAGTAGAGCTCGTCAGTTTCAATCAGATACTGGTACATTGAAAGATCCTATGATTGACCCAGTGCTTCGGAATCTGGCTTCTAACCGCTATAAATGACACTGAACCATCACATATCTGTGTCCGTGTCTGGCAATATCAATATCTCCTTGATGGCTTTGTAAACGTCAATACTTCCCTCTGACACTGGGCTTGAACACTGTTTTTAGTGACAGGAATAGCTTAGTCGGTAGCGAGTTGGATTGACGTCTGAAAAATTCTGATTCCATGAGCAGTGCTTCTGAAAGTCGGCCTGATGTTGGCTACCATCCAGTTGCAATTGAAATGTTATTAACCATGTTGTTTAGTAAGATATTTTCCAGGCATTGTAACCCGAGTGTGATGGTGATGACGGGAAATGATGACGGGTAGCGACCCCTGTATCATTTAGCTATCTATATATCCTCTATACTCTACAGTATCTTCCTGGTTTGGGCTTTTATTTTCATTCTCTCACTCACTCACTCGCTTACCCTTACAGCCTGTGCTCAATGGTGAAAACAAAAACAATATTCTCAACCGTTAATCTAAAATCAAGATGCAACTGTCATTGAAGAAAAATTGACAACGAAGAAACTAAATGGAAAGTAAAAAGACACATACCAAACATTTGGGCTGTGGTCGGACATTGGACGCCTGTCACCCTTGTGGTGTATAAGGGTATTTCGAGGTACTACTAAGGCCACGCGTCACAGTCTAAATTGATAGATCACGACTATAAGATGCTCTTGGTATTGAAACGGAGTCCTGACAGCTAATCACAGATCAGTTTTTTTTTTCCTTCTTGAACTAGTAATTTCCATTCGTAGCCATTGTGGCTTTTTCAATCAGAAATATTAAAATATATAATCTATGTTTCCAATAGGATTCAGAACATTGAGGCGTAAGACTCTGTGACACTCCACTAGTACATTGAGCACAGGTAATAAGGGTCCAAGCACCTGAATGTCACATCACTTGATAGTTAGTAATCACTTTTTTCACTCTAACCTATTAACAATTTTAACTCATTTTGGTGAGTAAGTCACCCTTTTTCCTCTAATATTGGGTATCGGTGAGTTTTAACCAAGCACACTTGTAGTAAGCAAACATATATTCATTCACCTATTAATCTTGGTACAAGGTAAACACATTTTTGATTTTCTAAATTGGCAAAATATTCCTCGCGTAAGTAGCTGAGCTCGAATGTTATAAATCACCTTTGCACATCTTGCTTTGTTGCATTTGTCAAAGAGTTTCTGTTTCTTTTAAATGTTTTAAGAATTTGATAAAAGCCAACCAATAAGATAGGATTTCACGTTTTCTCGCTTTTTATGTTGTCATATGCTTGCTTTTAGTGCACTATCGTCGTAAATGTATTGTGTACACATTAAAAAATGCTGGGGTTTCTTTTGCAAGGTCTTCATCTGTCCATAAGCTAGATGTTGGAAACACACATAGGAAAGGGGGGGGGGGGGTCCTTTTACAATGGCCCTGATGCCATGGGGGCCCAATACAGAGTCTGTTCGGGGAAAGCATTAGCTAGTATTAAGTCTTGATCTCATAGTTTCCAAAATTAGCCGAATTTGAGTTGTTTTGTATTGTTTTAAATGATGAGTTGTATCATTTTAATTAGCCCGACAACTCTGGGACTACCAGTTCTTCCAACGTGTTATACTGATGTGAACCATGACATCGAATCCGTATAACACGTCTGGAGGCCTGATAGAGTCAGTATTATCGGGATACATTTCGTGTTGCATCAATATTGTCATTATTAGCATCGTCCCGTATTGGTGTATTTATCATGTGATAATGTTTGTACCATATTATAATGGTAACGGTGTATTCGAGTGATGGTAACGGTGTATTCGAGTAATGGTAATAACGTGTATTGGTAATGGTAATTGAACCATGTTGTATCGTAACTGTAACTGGTAATGGGCTAGTTGTAACATGGTAATGCGGATTGTATGTATACATGTATAGAATGACGCTTCTGGAGAATCATCAACACACAAGGTAACATGCTGATCTGGAGTGTCATCAGATGATTGACGTGATGCTGACTCGTGCTCGAGTTCTATCGGCGAAATATTGACTATACATCGTCAGGTAAAGTATTGAATATGTTGGAGACAATTTCTTGTTGGATTTTCAGAATTCCATGCTCAAGGCGTTCTTCAGGAGCTGAAGGTTACTGTCCGGAAAAATAATGCTTGTGCCGCTCGGTGGGGTTGGAAACGCATTCTTAACTCCCATATATGTGTTGGTAATGGAGACATTGGTGCCTGCAACGTAAGTACCACGTTTTTATCACATTTTTCTTAATTTGATAAGAGTTTTCGTGTGAGTTTTTATCAAGAGATAAGTAGCCTTGATCATTATTGTATTTGTTCTTCTTCATCTAGTCTTTTGTAAGTCCTCCTCCCTTGGGCGTCACCTCGTCAAATTTTACGTAAGATTTGTTCATAAAGTTTTAGTTTTTTCTTAGATTTTGTACAGATAACGGTTTGTAAATGGGATTTTTTTTTAACTTAACTGATCAAAGGTCAAGATCATTCCTTCAAGGTCACAGGGAATTGTGCCTGATCGGAGCAGTTATGCGGAATGAATGCTTGTCTATTAGTTTAACACTTAAAACGGATGAGTCTCTTAGATTTCACTAAGTTCTAACATCAGCTTCCAATCTGGAAATGCATTGGAATTAACACGGTAGTGCAAAGTGGTGGAACTCTCACAGACTAGAGTCACAAAAGATGAAGGCACTGTTGGATGAATAACGATAGAATTAACACGATGATCTTTGTAGTTGTATCTTTCTTTATTTCTTGTTGCAAGAGTAGTATATTAGTTCCATCCCATCTTCACAATGTCAAGCTATTACGAACTATGCCTTACACCTTGACTGCAATAGTCGTCTTTCTTTGGGTCCAGGAATGCAGCAATTTAATTGGATTGTACGCCAGCAAATACAGCCATTCAGATCCCTAGTAAGAAAGACTGAAACATGGCTTAAAGCTTACAGGCTCTTTGTTGATGACTCTGATTGGCTGTATTCGCTAACATACAATCAAACCAAATCACTGCATTAACATACTTCCGTGACTGTGGCTATTGTAGTCAAGATATAAGACGAAGTTATAGCTTGACATTGTGAAGATGGTTCCATTCCAGTAAAGTTAGTATAGTAAACCCTTTCAGATAGTTCTAATAATAAATGTTGTTGAGTAGATATAGTCCATCACCTTATATAGTTCTTTATTCCTAACCGTTGCATGATGCCAATGCAATCAATGTCTATTGACGTTTAGTACCTTTATGTTGTACATTTGTTGTAAATAATTAATATTATTAATGAAGTAAGTATAACTTAGTCTTTTACTCCGCCGCATCGGTGAGAGATGATATTTGGTGTATTGATGTAGTACTTGTCGCTTTGTGGCCTCAATGAAATGTGATGAAATGAGAATCTATCAAGACTGGAGAAGACATTATTCATGAGTTAACCGTTTCTCCAGTTTCAAATACGAGCCCTTGTACGTTTAAATTTAAGCCCAGGCTCAGAAATTTGAGCTTTTCTTTGACAAAGTTTGAGCTCTTCCAAGTTGAATCTATACAGACGGAAGAAAACATCGTTCATGAAACTGTAAATCATTCCTACACGAGCTTTCTGATTTTTGAAATTCAAGCTCAAACATTGGAATTAATCTCACACATTGGGATTAAGCCCAAACATTGGAATATAAGCTTACACATTGGAATTTAATCTCACGCGTTGAAATCTAATCTCTCCTAAATTGAAATTCTTGTTCATCTTGACTGAAATGTTAGTCCTGTCATGATGTACTTTGAGCTTCAGTAGAACTCGGAATGTATTCAGAAGGAATGGGCAATGGAGCAAGGCTACGGGGCGGGACTTGGCTCTATCAATAGCCGGTTCGCTTTTGCCAAGCTTTCGCCATTGCTGCCGCATTATGTTATGGCTCTCTTTGCAAGACTCGTAAGAAGAAATTCACCCATGATTTTGTTACCTTATTATAAATTTTGAGACTGTTTCATCACATTTCAGCCACAAAATTATATCATTGCTTTCGATGTTAACGAAACATCCTTACAATTTATATCCCTGTCTAACCTACAGCATGAGGAAACTATGTCCGAGGCCCATAGCTATAGGGGGGCAAAAAATAGATTGTCCCCCTGAAAAAATTCTGACAACCGTCCCAGTTCATTACTGCAAATTAACACCATACCCCATTACAACTCCGAACAATCAAGTCTGACTACGGGCCAGCTATTTCCATCTTGTCAAATATAAACGCGTCCGAATGCAGCTGCATTGCATAAAACATAATATTCTATGTTTGTAGAGAATGTCTGAAAGTTGCAAGCCTATACATGTGCAAACAGCATCGGGGCACATTGCTGCTTTCGTCATTATGTCACTAATAGTCTATAGATCTGCTGCATTGCAAAAGTAGTTGAACATGTTCTGTCTGAAGCGAATCATTCACCGAAGACAAAATCAGATGAAAAGTCTTAGTTTTGATTGTCAATATTTCTCAGTCCACAGTCACAGAAGTATAGCCGCCCAATGGCGTTACTGTTCTAGGGATACACTGACTTATTGGCATTTGTAAAACTTGTAGTGGTTCTAAGACTAATATTCAATTCTATCTGCTACTTCAATTCAATAATTCTTTAAGATTCTGTATCCTAGATCAGACATATCCCCCTTGTATTTTTAACATCTAGTACATGAATATACGTTGTGAGACATTCAACAAATAACCGCGTCTCTTTCCTTTTTCTATTTGGACAACTGATATATTGAAATGAATTGTGCCAAAATGTACTTGAGAATTTGGGCCAATTCCCAAAGAATTCGGTGTGAATGTTTTCTTAATCATTTATTGTTGTTATTTTAGGGCGATTCCGGTGGACCATTAGTTTGTTCGAGACGAGGGTATTACTATTTGGTAGGTGTGACGTCATGGGGGGTCAGTGGTTGCCAAACTTCCGGATATCCCAGTGTATTTACAAGAACATCGTTTTACCACGATTGGATGGAAGACATAATACAGACTTACTCCAAGAGTTGATGAGTGTGGGAATATAAATGGAGTGTATGAGACAATAGGAACAGGTGCGCTCTCGTTAACGAATGTAAATGAATGGGACAATACGAACAAAAGATGTACCTGATTTCTCGCTTAGTCGTAGGAGGAGTCGCTTGCGATGCAGACATGCTCACTCTTCAAGATAACATGATGCCTTGTTAACGGTACATCTTAATACATGTACAATCGTGGGACGAGAACCGAAGTCAAGAGGCTAGCTGTTTTCGAGAATACGAAATTATCGTGTTTAAATCTGTGGCAATGGTAGTTCTCTGTAGTCAAAATGTTTGGGGGTTTTTTGACGATGGTCTGAGAAAGCTTTGTCCAATACATAAGCGCTCCTCCGGATATGGTAGGGTAGAACAGAACTGCAGTTTTGTGTGGTTCTTGCAATAATTGTTTGAATGCTAAGTAAGAGATATGAATGAGTGAACACTAGACAATATAATATAATAATATGGAGAACCATTTCCAAGATGACTGTGATTAACCCGAGTAATAGGGTGTTGTAAATATTAATATTATTTATATTCCTGGTTCCTAATCTGGGCCCCAAATACCCCTGGGAGAACCTTAATGCATGTTTTAAAAATAGTGTTTTCGGCTAGCAATTCATATACTTCTGTAAACTGTATCAACCATTACAGATTATGAACGAGGTCCACACTTATTCGCAATATCCAGGGGCTAGTTTTCCAAAAATCTATTTATTTTATTCCACTTATTTTATTAGTCCAATTAAAATACTATACCTGTTTAAATCTTGAGTTTTATTGGCCCTGTTCACTGTAAAGCTTCCCAGTTCGTCATGTTAGCAGAGGTAAAAATATAATAAGGGGTACGTGGAGTTCAGGAGGTTGGGGACTAGGAATCTATTTATTTATATATATGCTCGGTTCATGGTTTACTAGTATATATACAGATATCATATCATGCATTTATATATATTTAGTAATACCATCGTACCAATCATAATAATAGTGTAAGTATTAATATAATGTATATGACGTTGTAGATGCGTGAACGGTTAGGGACTGGGCGGGAGAGAGTCATCGAAACCACCTCACAGAGGGCATGGTTTTCCGGTCATTTCGTTACTTTTGGAATTTTAAACTGCTTCATCTTTGTGGATTTGAAGAAAATAGAGCAGTTTTACACGTCTTAGCTTTTAAGTTGAAAACATGTCACCGACATGCCTTCATGGATTTTCACCCCTCACCCAACCCTTTAGAATTAACTATTTGGTTTGATGTATATAATGAATAATTTTGTATAGTTTGTACTATTTGTATATTACTGGTGAACTGTTGTATTATTATTGTATATTAAACGTTAAGACAATTAGAGCAAGATTTTTTCTCACGAAAATACCCGTCAGAAAGAGTCCCATCGTTATATCGCGAAGTTTTTACTCAACTCCTTGTGGGGGAAATTCGCTTTACCATTTAGGGGCTGATCAGCCTCGGCTACCCGGATGGTATATTGTATGAAAATCGGACTTCGATGTGTCTGCATGCAGTAAAAATTATCTGCCCTGACCAGAAGAGTTTACCAGAATTGCAGGAACTTTTGTTTGTGTGTATTTTAGAGCAACGCAATGTCCGATATTCATTCTGAAAAGTCTGTCAGCTAATAAATACATGTACTTAGAGACCAATATTCGTTTGACGTAGATATTTTTTAATAGATACACACACACTCCTGCACTTATACTTCCAGAGTCGTTTCCAACACAAATTAAAGCGTCGTGATTTGGAGTGGGGTCGTTGGAGGATAGAATGAATGACAGTCATTCATTGGACATTGGGTTGAAAATTCCTGCCCGAGTTTCGAGGTCGTGAGAATGAAAAGACTACAGAGCTATGGAATTATTTAAAACAAAACATTTATTAAAAGCAAGTAACAGAACACAGTACAGTAAATACACAAACATTGAAATATCAAAAATATCGTCCTAATTTCCTGCATTAAAAATGAAAATATCTTCTAGTGCTAACAATAACATTTGATGTCCATGTTTCAAGCATTAGAAATACATTGCTAGTTAGTGGGCGTATCGTTTCCAGTTTCCAGGTTAACAGTATTAAAGCCCATTAAAGACATAACAATTTAATCGTAAACAGTCTTATTTTTTATTTGCTGCAGATTTTCACTGTGGTATTGCTGATTTAATTGTATCCTTGCCAAGCATAAGATGAAACCACGCCCATATCTTTATAAATAGAAGATTCTATTCTTCTGTCACTATCTGGTATCTTGACATTCTCGGTATCTGTTAGCCTATCCATCTGAAATGAAAGGAATTGATAATCAGAATAATAATGATGATGATGATGATGATGATAATGATCATAATAATAATAATAATTGATTCATTAATAAGAAATGAAATGAAGTGGAGTTTTACATCCTATTTTTCTACACCTGTTTGGGCTATTGAAGACGAAAAAGAAAAATAAAGACAGTACCGGATGCCTAATGAAATTATTGTTTCCAAATACCAAGCCCCAGTTTGTGAACCAATCCTTCAACCTTCAACCTCTTAATCCCCTTACACCTCGGTTGTGTTTTAAACAATGTTTTTATTCTTTGTTACGATTTATTGTGTTTTGTTTGAATGTTTTGTTTTGTGTTGTAACCAGGACAGCGTAGAGCTAGTATACAAACGTCTTTCTAACACGCAACCAACACGACATTTCTAATTATGTCAATTCCGGAATAGAAAATCAGAATGGATGTCGCAATTCATCTATTAGTATTAGATATATACCTGGACTCTAATAGACTTGGACCTAAGTGGCAGTAAGAGTTATCAAACTTTATTTTACCGATTATATTTAAGAGATTTCGAATATCACCTTCTAAATAGTAGTCCTAATGATAAATATTTACTTGTGTTGATAAACAATAAAAACATAGGCACATAATATCATTTTAAAGTTGGATCCTTGGGGGAGGTTAATTTTCAACAAGAATTGAGCTATTATGTTGAAGCCAATATTCTAAATCTGTAAGAATAACCAATAAATAACGTCCATTCACCACCATAAATATATGTATAATAAAAGAAGATCAAAGACACCTACCATTGCCTGGAATTCTGTCCCTGTCATTCTTTTATTATTCCTGATATGAAGTGGTTGTCTTGGAGTCGGCACATAATAAAGTCTATCAACAATTTGATCTAATTCATACTTAGTTACATTCTGATATCCTAGTCCAAACTCAGGCTTTAAAATTGTCCCCCATTTCTGTTTGCTGCTGGCTGGCCTGACTGAGGATCGTAAAGAACTCATTCTTGTCTGAAAATTAAATATAAATTGATAACTAAGAGCTACATGGCTGTTTCCTTTTTCATAACGTCTTCTAAATATTTGCGTTTCAATATGGTTTAGGAATCTGATTTTGCCAATTATTACAACATGAAATATAGTTCTGAGAGTCTTGGGTTGTCTATATAGGTTGAAATAAATTCTTAACTGTGAGAATAAATTATTTGTAAAAAAAGGGAACTTTTTGAAAATGACAGAACAAATTTACAACCAAGAACCAAAGGTGTCGTGCAATACATAATAATAGTCAAATTTAAACAGATCTTGAAGATAATGAAACACTCATTTATATTATGAAGGTTGTCAGTAATAAAAGTTCCTTACCTTTCAATGTCGATGGAATACGTTCATTCAAAATAACCAAGGTCTATATACACGAGTTTATGTTCATTAGACGGATTACTGTGAACTAATATCGCTGGTAATCGGGCAACGTTCAAGTGACTGACTGGACTGATCCGATAATCTGGGAATTAAGAAAGGATATCCAGCCTATTGTTATTATGTTAATTCGAGGCTAGTTGTTTTCTATTATACTTTCTTACAACATGATTTACTTCTTATTTCAGTATCGATTATCGATCTCTTTCTAATGACTTTCAATTTAAAGTGAAGGTGCCTCCTTTTAAATGTAAAAACAGTATATTGGTTTTTAAAAAGCTTTGTAGCGGTTAAATGCTTCAATTTAAAGTAGAGGTGCCTGCTTTTCAAAGTATATATGGTATATTTGTTATTTAAAACTTTATAGCTGTTAACTGGATACAGTCTTATGACTTCAATTTATAGGCCCAGTGAAGGTGTCTGCTACGTATATAATGGTAGCCTAGCTTGGTTACTAAACTATATTATAACGCTTTGTTTTTGTTTTTTATCTCAGGCCATCTGAAATCCGTTGGCTTCTTGAAGTCTGTCAGCGCTATGGTACTAGGGTTCGACCCCCCTCGGGCCTCGCCTCGGAGAGACACCTGCCTTTAATTTGGCCTGAACAGGGTCTGAACTTACACGGTGAGCGTACGGTTTATTTGAATTGTGGGAGAAAGGGGTGAAATTCCAAAAATAAGAACTAATCGCAGAAATATTTACAATAAAAAATACAGTAAATATTTAGACGAGTTTTAGTCAAACGATTGGAGAAAATCAGTATCCGATCATCATTGCAAAATAAAAATTTAAAATTTAATTTCAAAATGATTTTTTATTTATCATCTAAAGTCCTTAAGGTTTATTCTGTTCAATGTTTAATTAATAATGTTTATTTGAATGTTGAGAATTGACGGGAACAGTGACGTACTTCAGAATACCATAGACGTTTTCGGGCTGGACAATCTGTTCTACTTTTCTTAACAAGAGTTATTTCCCTTTATTGATCTCGTTGCGAATGACGCTTTAGAGGTAGACGATAGTTTTTTTCACTTCTAACTGTAAACAGTAAACATTATAGAATCTTCCTTTCTTATTTCTTCCTATATAAGTTGAATATCAAATGGAAATTGTCCAGTAGTAAGTATTTTGTCATAAGTTGAGCACGCTTTGATAAAAGATGGCCTCTGAAATGTGAATAAACGTGCAGAAAAATAGAGTTGAGCAGTTGACTTTATATTTTTCATGTACAACTCAATAGAGAGTGGAAATAGGATAGGACGATAGGACATGCTATATCAAATATTAAAAAGTTCAAATTGTATCATTTCCTTTACAGCAGACATGTTAAAACTAGCCGTGAGTCCCTCTGTATCACTCCCAAAGAAAAAATATCTGAATTCAGCTATGCTTGCCATTAATTATTAAGATTTAGGCCTATTGTAGATAGGCTTTAGTTTATGATCATTTTGCTAATTCATAAGTGTAACAACAATATTGGATAGCTAAAGCCATTGCCATCCTTACTCGTATTGGGCTAGGACTTAAACTTATCTGTTTATTTGACAGAACCACAGACAAAAAAAAAATGTCCATAAGTAATAAGATGAGTGGAAATGGCAGGAAATCACAAACTAACTCAAGAGAGGATCCGATTCATCCAGAAATAACAGCAGATGATCTAGCTGATCCTGACACTTTGATAGAGAAATTAGAAACAGTGGAGCTTACCGAGGAGGACACTGAAGAACTTCTCCATGAAGCTTATAAAGTCAACAAGAAGCTTAAAGAAATTCTCAGAAGACAAGAAGAGGAGGAAACGGGAATTCAAATGAGAAAAATTCGAACTGCTGGAGCATTATCCAATCCTAATAAACTTTCCAATAAATCTCCTCTTCCACCAATTAACCATGTTCCTGATACAACACGTAATGTTTATACAGCTAATCCTTCCTCCAGATCTAAACGCTCTCCCACCAGACAATCTACTGCTAGAGTCCAGTCATCACAGGTAAGTTTTTAGTGTCTCTAATACCTTGACATGATTAGGCACTTTTCATGTTAAGTTACAACCAAATGTCAGCAAGCTTTTAAATTTACAATGTATCTACTGTGTGAAAAGAGCCAATATTTGATAGAAAGCAGTTACTGCACTTGATGTTTATGGAAGATTAAGAAAGTCCATTTCATCTATGTTCAGATAAGAACCAGTAGCCAGATTTTTTACAGTCTTCTAGGCTGTAATAGGATGTAAACAAGAGTTTTTACTACCACAGTACTTGCATTTTTCAGAGTTAAATTGTGTCAGACAGCAGCATTGAAACAGTTTTATTATTCTCTTAGTTTTTTTATATATTTGTAGAGTAAAAGAAGTCCAATTAGAAGAAAAAGTTCCTCGACAACAGATACAAAACCTGATTGGGATTCCAGATTTTCCTACAGCTAGTCTACTATATAATTCCTTCTACTGGTGCCAAATATGACTTATTTTAATCAGTATTATCTATCAGAAACTTATTAGTATTTCCTTACTCTAGTCTCTTTATGTATTTTAGCTACTTTGAAGCTATGACCAAAAAAGTTTTTAAGGATTGCCTTGTTGCTTTTTGTTTACAGTCAGATCTAATCACTTACTTTGTGTTTACAGTCAGAAATGGTGCTCAATTGAGTCTGGATTTCATTTTAAGTTCAAAAACACAAAGGGTTTTGCAGTATTTTTGCCAATGTCCATTGTCAGAAAAAATCGTCTTACATTTGTCACACCGTTCAAAATTTTTTCATATTTTACGTTGTCTTGTGGTTCGTGTTCTATAACTAAGTGTTTTTAATTCATTTACATTTCTTGATTTTAAAATTGGTATTCCCTTTAACTCGTGTATACTATTATTGTAGGTATAAATGTTATATTTATTATCATTTTAAGCGAAAAATAATTAATAAATATTGACTAGTTATTACTACTAGAAGATGAAAGATAAATACCAGAATCTGGGTACGGATCATAAAAGATAACTATTATCTGAGCTGTTATTCTGTCGCAAGGACACTTCGCTGTTACATATGTTTGTGTTGGGAGCCTCAATCTATATCCAATATGGCTGATGTGTGGATAAGGTCTAATGAATGAAAAGAAAAACAAAGTTAATTTAATGCAACATTCAACATTTATTAGACCATACTGTATATATACATGTTGATAATGAACTAATGATAACAAAGCATGGAATATTTACATAATGGAAGGAACATTTAACAATGATACTCAACAGGATTATCAATCTCATTTGTGTGGACAAAAATATTAAAGTTTTCTTTAGATTTGAACTGTAGGTCATTATAGTGACTACATAGTTTCATGTTAGAAGACCAGGTTATTGGCAACTTTTCTTAGTATAAAAATCAATCAACAAATTTCTTTTGGACAAAAATATGACAAAGGTTTCTGAAGATTCAATTTTACAGGTTACTTTGAGTGAAAGGTCATAGAGACTACCAGAATATTTTCAATCTAATTTACATAAAAATTCTCATAACATTTCAGTATCCACTTTGCAACAGTTAAATTACATCACTAATCTGAATTTATAACAGAGATAATGTTTTAGAAACTTCAACATTTAGTACAAATCTATTTACTAGAGACAAAAGGTTTCTTCAAAAACTAAGGATTTTAACTTTTTGTGCTGTTTGTATTTACATATTTTGATAATGCAGTTTAGTGGCTCATTTATTACAAAGAAATTGATCAAAAATCTAATAGTTAAATTAATTCAAGTCTTCTGTAGAATTTTAAAAATAAAACAAGAAAAAAATAACATCTAACAAGAGATTTAAAAGAAGAAAAAAAAAACACCCATCACAAAAAAGAAACATTTAAGAGGCGAAAAAGATGAAAGGAAATAGACATAAGGATAATGAAAGACAACACAAAAAAAGCACAAAAAGAGACCAAGAAAGAAATGAAAGGTCCGGGCAAAAATTATCTGGATCAGTTTGAAATTAAATGGAAATTATTCAGATACTGATAAGGCAATAAAGAAAATTTGACTAAACTCACGTTCTTAATTTGGTTAAGTATCCATGACGATAAAGTATTCAGCAAATAAACATAAATTATAAAGCACATGAAAATCAAGAAAGCACTAAATAAGATAAGAACAAAACATCGAACAGAATGATAATTTTAGGCAGTTTTCAAAATTAAGTCAAGTATGAAACACAGAACTAAAGGAGAATTTTTTCCTCATTCCAACCATCCTCCGATTTGGCGAAGTTGATGTCTTCTGGATGTGTTGGATGGTGATTGTGTAATTGGTTTGAATTACTAATCCCTAATCAAACTACATGATATATTAATTATTAACAAAACTAGAAAAATCATTGATAATATCATTCATTGATTTGATACAAAACTTATTAAATCATATATATATAGGGAAATTACTGTAGAAAACACCACAAACTAGGCTTATTTCTAACACCAAATGTGATAAATTTTAGCTCTTTATAAACTAAATTTCAATGACTTGATAATTGAAAGATTGGAATTCTCAGAGATACTTCATGCATTGCTAGAATATCATATTCATAAGGGAAAAATAACAATGTATAACACCACAAAGTGATATTTTGTCCATTTTTAACACTTACTGGTAAAAAAAGTTATTTTCAAAAGGAGTTTTGATGACTTAATTATCTAAAGAGTGGAAGTCTTGTAAAAAAATCTTGGCCTGTTTTAGTCTTATTGCATTATTGGAATATCATATTTATAAAAGTAGGAATCAACACCACAAACTAGTCTCTACATGACTGATAAAATAATTTTTTTTCAAAAATACTTTCAGTGATTTCCGAGTGAAATTCTCAGAGTAAGGCTTTTGTTTTAGTCTTCATAAATTACTAGAACTCTATTCAGATAACACAAACTTTGCTTTTTGTCTTTTTCTCAAAAATAATTTCAATGACTTAATACTTTTAAGATTTGGAATTCTCAGAAAGTCTATTACAATACAGGAAAAGGAGGCATTGACTCTAAACAAACTTTTGGCTTCTCGTTAATTTTTAACACCAAAATTATTCAAATTAAGTTTTTTTCAAAGAGAAATTTCAATGACATGACAGTCGACAGATTGGAACTAAAAAAACCTGTTTTAGTTTTAACAAATTAGAACATTATATTGTGGTTTCACATAACTCTGACATATTCCAAAGTTCAGTTCAGACAAGTTTATATTTGAAACACATTAAACTGGTGTCAATAACAGCCTTGTTGACTAACTTCCTCCAGGTTAAGAGCCTCCTGTCACTGCTTGGCCTGCTCTAACAATGGGTTGACTAATTTACTGGGTAAGGAAGCCTTTCTAGCAGGTAGATTTTCTGGTGTTGGGATAGCTTCTCCAACAGATTCTTCAATTAAAAACTTTTCTGACTGATTTAAAGGTTTCTTTGGATTATTTAGCTTAGCTTTAGCCATGTTGTAATCTCCAGAATCAAAATATTTCTGAAAATGAAAAAGAAACAATTCTACATCAAATGAAGAGACTGTCGTATTGCTTTACTTTTGGTTTAGCTAATCCACAATGCAACATTTTTATCAAAAAACGGGTCCTACACTATAAATTTTGATCGGTTAGGAATAAAATCATTAGAACGAGGTTGGAATATAACCTACCCCTTTGTTAATCAATCTCTTCTGTAAAATGGCTGATCCACCACCCTTCAAATTAGGATATTTTGAACGCAAACGAGCTTCTTCATTTTGTTCTACAGTTTTTGGCTGAAAAATAATTCAATTCTTTTACAATTATGGCAAATCAATCCATAAAATAATGGTACCCGATAATAAAATTTCATGAAATAAAATAAATTCTATTGCATGCGCGCAGAAGGTGATTACATCATTTCTCCATCAACTCTAGCTCGAACACCAGAGATTCAATCAAGGTCACCCTAAGAGGTAGGCTATTGATACTTCAACTGGTAGGCCACTGGTAAAGGTAGGCAAAATGGACATTATAATACCTTTCTTTACCAACTAAGTTCACCTTTACCTATTATAAATTGACCACATAAATATCCTTTGTAACTGTCGGGTTATATAAACACAATCTTTATAAATAACATTTTCTCCTATTTAGTATTTATCATGTATGATTTGTATGAATAGAATTTAGAAACGGGTTGTATACACAAGAAAGTATTTACTGAATTCATGATCAAAATATACTCCAGTGTATACAACAAATTTCATAGCTTGGACAAGGTAGCAATAGGATTAAGTCCAATAACAAATCGCAATAGCAGGTCAACCCATAACTAAATATGATATGGAATAATAGATGGCCATTTTTGTTGTGTTGTGGTTCAAATGCAATGTTGTTGTTTTCAATTAGATCTACGCCATTTTGATTACCTGGGGTTGTTTGAAAACGTCTGCATCTCCAGTAGGAACATCATTTCCAGTTTCAGATGCCATACTCATTTTGGACGAAAAGTTTTCCCAAATTAACCAAAATTTTCAATGGAATTGGCAAACAACAATTTCACCACTGAAGTTGTAAAGAAAATGGCTCGTTTGACGTCATAGATTCTAAATCAAATTGACCAATGAAATTTCGCGCACCTCGTCACTGCTGCATTACAACATGTCAGCGCCCAGGGGTAAATAAAGAAACAATATAATGTTATGATGTGGCCGGTTTATTGTCATAACTGTCAAAGTATTGAATGAAAATCAAAGTTGAGGATCGTGGTAAGGTCAGTTCAAGATGATCTCGGGGAAGAAACAGATTGGTTTACTGGTCTGGCTCAGTTCATTGTATTTTATTGGTGTTTTGATATTTACAAAGGGATTTTTGTTGAAAAGAACCGTTGTTGAGAAAAACAGTAGCTGTGAAGCGGACTTCACTTTGAGTACCGACGATCACGATGAAGAAGGTTGCTGGATGCACAAACGATTCAAGAAGGCAGTGATCATCATCATTGATGCTTTGAAATATGAGTTTTTGGAATTTGACCATAGTTACAAAGCCACAGACAAAGTTCCTCACTTTAAAAATAAATTACCATTTATTGAAAATTTGCTGCAGAAGAGCCCCAAGAATGCCATTCTGACAAAGTTCATTGCAGATCCACCAACAACAACCTTACAAAGACTGAAAGGCCTTACAACTGGAAGTTTGCCAACTTTTGTGGATGCAGGTTCGAACTTTGCCAGTACTGAAATCACAGAAGACAACGTCATTGATCAAATGGTCAAGGCTGGACGAAGATTGAAATTTATGGGAGATGACACTTGGCTTGGTCTTTTTCCTGGTAGATTCAAAAAACAGTTCCCCTTTCCATCATTCAATGTTAAAGACTTGCACACAGTTGATAATGGAATTTTAGAAAATCTGCTTCCAGAACTGAAAATGAAAGATTGGGATATTTTGATTGCTCATTTTCTGGGCGTTGATCATTGTGGTCACAGGTTCGGACCAAACCATCCTGCCATGTCTGACAAACTTTTACAAATGAACAGTATGATAAGGTAAACTTTAAGACTCTTTTCAACAATTTGTTCTCATGTGTTTCCTTATATTTTGGTACTTATTTTTGGAGAAACCTGGACAGCATTAGCAGGAAACAAAAATTATTGCTGGGTCATCAAAAAAACACATTACTACCACATAATTTGCTATATTGACGTCATTAAACACTTAGTTTAAGTGGAATTACAAGAACTACAGACATCTGGCTGAAAATTGGAATGATAAATATCAATACTATCAGTGTCTTTGACTCTTTTAGTCACCATTCCATGCATTATTTATTGTACAGTCTATAATTATAATTCTAGAATTCTAGGCAAAATTCTTTGGTTAGTCTCTTAACAAAGGTTTCTCAGCTTTTTTGTGTCAAATAAACCATTACTTTATAATATTTGTAGAAATGTAAGTAAGGTATTAGATAAAGATACAGTATTAATGGTATTGGGAGATCATGGTATGACTAGAACAGGTGACCATGGTGGAGACAGTGCAGATGAACTAGAAGCTGGTTTGTTTATATACAGCCCTGAAACATTAACAGCTACTTTACCAAAGGTAGGTATATTTCATAACGAGGGATCTTCAATGATAGAGGAATGCTCTATTTGCTCAAAAGTTCTATTGAATCACAGATTGGTTTAAGCCATGATATTTGAACTGGTACTACAGTCACATCCTGGAAATACACTCCAATCAACAGCCATTGGTTAAGGATATTGAGATAAGTTTAAAGAAAAGCGCTGGCAATCACAATCATAGGTATATTTTTATGTAAAAAATTAATTACTATTATGAAAAAAAACCCATTAGATTGGCATCTATTCTGGATGTTTTCTTACAAATAACCAATTGTACTAATGATAAAGGATGAACATCTTCATTAGATGTGGTCTGAAAAGCAATGTGTAAAAGTCTATTTCATTTCATTTCAGATGAAGAAGAGAGAAGTAGCTCAGACAGATTTGGTACCAACTATTTCTTTATTATTAGGTCTGCCAATTCCTTACTCTAGTCTTGGCATGATAATTCCAGAACTGTTCAATCATTGTCCTTGGTCTAAAACAGCTTCAAGTGATATCAGACAAATATATCATACTGTTAAAGCATTACGATTAAATGCTCATCAAGTTCGAGAGTTTTTGAGAAGTTATTATGAAATTTCGCCTGAATTTCCTCATCAGAAATACTCAGAGTTAGAGGCTTTGATAGAGCATGCTGAAGGAGATTTACAACAGTTATTAACAGCTATGGTGACAGAAGGAGAGTCAGATAATGTGTACAATAGACTCAATATACTGAAGGATCATTATGAAACTTTTATTCAAGAGGCTAGAAATATGTGTCAGAAGATATGGGCCAAGTTTGACTTGGTGGCCATATCATTAGGTTTGATAGTTGTTTTCCTGTGTATTTTAATCAATGTTTACTTCTATTTGGCCCATCAAAACGAAGAAGATCTTTCACCTATTTCACTTGCTGCTATTTTTGCCAGTACTGTTGTGATCCTGTATGCCTTCCTTCAAGCATTTTATATTGGCGACTTTATAAATCCGTTTATGGTATATTTATTCAGTGGTGTAATGATAGTCACCTTCAGTATCATGATCAAAAAGAATCTATCTGTGTGGAAACGATCAAAACGGGACAAAAATACTCTGAATCTCCCTTCATTTGAAAACTTCTTCGCAACATGTTTAATGTTTGTGTATGCGTTTGGCTACTTCTCAAATAGCTATGTGGTCTTTGAGGATTCTGTGACAGCCTTCTTATCTGTATCTTTAATATGGTTGTTTGGTATTAAAGCCATAATTGTGAACAATAACATCACCAAAGAATCCAAAAATGATTTAAGTATTAGGCAGGTTGTGAAAAATAGAAAACAGAAATTTGATATACTTGAAAAAGTAACTCAACCAAACTCAATAATTATATTAGTGTTATTGATTTGTAGCACAATGTTTAGATTATTGTCGAATTTCACTGTGTGCCGTGAAGAACAGATGCCTTGTAATGATACAATATTTCTTCAACCATTGGCTAACTTCACCCAAGAAGAATTCAAATTGAAAAATCTACGCTACTTTTTTTCTATAGGATGTCTAGCAGCTTTTGTGTATCTATCACGTAAATGGATGAAACATTTTGGAAATTTAAATGGAGAAAGTCCGGTTGTCATGTGTGCTAAATATTTAATTCCTTTTGCTGCGACTTGTGTTGGGCTCCATTGGGCCGTTATAGCTTTACCTCCAGCAGTATTAGATGCCTTGCCAGGCTGGCAACAAGTTTTAATGGCACAGTTAGCCTATGTTTCTATCATTTCATTGATTATATGTGTCATCGTCAGCCCATTAAGTTTATATCTAGTGTATGTTAAAAACAATCGAAATGTGACACTACCAAGTGTTGATGGACCACAGTTTATACCTCAAGTATTTCGACAATTAAAAGACAACCTGAATAGTAATAGCAAAGAGAAGCCACCTATGATATATGGGCTAGGAACGGTATATTCCTCCAGTTTAATATACCTAATAACTGTTATTGGTGTATTGTTATCATTATTATTAGGAGATGGCTTATCACCAGTTTTAATTCTTACAGCTTTAACATTTTTATGTTTCCTGGAAATTTACTCAGCTGCATTCACAGATGAAGGTAGGCTATAGTTTGCTCTTTTTTTTATTTATTTCATATTAGATTTTGGACTATTTTTATTGATCAGAACTTCAGGAAAAAATCTATCACATAGCCCGGTTACACAAACTGTAATTTATCAAATTAAACATTGACTTAGGTAGCACTAGTAACACAGTTCTCAGTCTGAGAAAGGTGGGACAGTAATGTTCATTGATGAACTTTTCATTTAAAGCACCCATTCATTTTAACAAATAATATATACATCATGCATGATATTTTCAGATTCTGAAGTTAGCTGGCCAGCTGTAGTAACCATAGGAATGATTACCTCTCATGTCTTCTACTGCACTGGTCACCAGGCTACTATATCATCTTTACAATGGAACGCAGCATTTACTGGTTTCTATGGAAACTTTAATAATAATGTGCTTCCTGCAATTCTTATGACATTAAATACATTTAGTGCTCAGATATTTCTCGGTGTTATGATGCCTTTATTGGTATTCTGGCCAAAGCTTTACACCAAATTAACTCTAATGATGAAAAAGAAATCTCAAGATAGAAATGAAAGGTGGCAAGGTGATTTTGTATTTTACGATGATGGTGAAAAGTTGAGACAGATATTCTACAGACTGTGTTTAGCTATTTTCATCTTTACAAGTATAAAGGTCAGTTGACAAACTTAGCTGGCGAACTTCAGCACCTTTACCATCTCACAAGTCAAAGTTGAAAAGCTTTGTTGAATATATGCTTACTGTGTATATTATATACTTACAATATCTACTATGTTCATCTTTATCTAACACTTTGGCTTGTCAATGTGGCAAACCTTTTGACGTTCATATTTGTATTTGGTATGTCATTAATCCATTTAACTTTATGACTTGCAAGGCTGTAGCGCAATCCAAGTTATATTGAGGCTAAGGGGAGTTGGATTGATGAAATAAGTAATTGAAAAAAATGACTCTTCTTAATTTTGGTCAATTCAAAAGTGACACACTTACCTTCATTTTGCTAATGTCTTGTTATAAGCCAACAAATCAAGTTCAATGTTTAAGTCTTGATAATAGTTTTTCTTTGTTTATTATTTTAGTTATTTGGATCAATGGGTGCTGCCGCTCTTCACAGAAGACATTTAATGGTATGGAAGATATTTGCTCCAAGATTTGTGTTTGAAGCTGCTGGATCATTCATTATGTATATCATTTCTATCGTGATGTACATGTTCGTTATGAGGATTGATGATTGTTTATCTAGATTTCTTAAAGCTTTGTGAGAATTGAAATTATGCCAAAGAATTATAAATTATATAACAAAGTATGATAAAATTTATGTCAAAGCATTTTTGAAAGTTAGGCCTAAATAGAATATAAAAGTGGTTGGATGCCAAGAGCTTACTTTTGAAAATCTGACTTTGTCATTCCTTTTAATCCTGAAGGATTGAGGATGACTATTTATCTAAATTTCTTACAGCTGTATGAGATCAGAAATTATGCTGATGAATAATTAAATGTATTCCAAAGCATTATTAAATGTATTATAAAACAGTGCTGTGGCTGGACATCAACAGTTGTTTATTTCTAGAAATTTCATTTTGTCCAGGATGACTTTTAATCTACATTTCTTAAAACTTTATGAGAATTGAAATTATGCCACAGAACTGAAATGTTACAGCATTATTGAATATATTACCAAAACAGAATATAAAAGTGCAGTGGCTGGACACTGTTGTTGTGGAAATGTGACTCACTTTGTCATTCATTTTTATCTTTAATGATCCTGCTTTTGTGTACAAATTTGTATCTTGTGTCTTCCTTTGATTACAGAAATTCTGAAATGTGTATAGCGGTTCTGTCAACTGGGCAAATAGTAAGATGAATATATTTTTGTTAAAATAATTGCTGATGAGCTTTACATATTTACAATCTTTTTTTAAAAAAACAAAATATTGTGTATAAATCTCTTTTCATTGTTCATTTATTATCTATTCAAATATTGTATACATTTTTATGGAATTTTGTATAAAAATTCTCCATCCTCATCATACACAGTTTTTCCTTTTTGATAAACTTGACCTTCTGATCTTTGATTGGAAGGCACTTTGATTTTATCGAACGAATCATCTTTCTGATATTCCAGTGTCACATATTCCTTTTCATTTGTTTTGCCTCCTTCATTTTTCGGAAACAAGTCTTCAAGAATTGTTTGATAAAATGCTAAAACTTCAAAATCATTGACAGTATTTTCACTTTTCTGAGGTTTTTCACCACTTTCTAAAAGTCTGTCGGGTTGTACAACTCGCTTGAAAATATCTGAGAAAGGAGTGGGATGATTCAATTTTTTGGGGGTAGGCTTTCGTCTAAAGGGCAAGTCTGGAACTCCTGCTGCACACATTATTCTACTCAATCTATCATCATCAACATCATTTCGAGACCATTCTCTCCATTTTTCAACAACTCGACTGTCATGTTTTTTAATTTCATTTTTGGAAACCTCAATGAATTTGGATTTGAGAATTTTTGATACACCGTAAATTGAAACAGGGAACACTCCAGCTAGAACAGATATTGACCATTCTTCTGGAGAAGTTGCGTGTAAATATCGTATCTGTTCTTTCGCTCTCCAAGTTAGTACATTGTCTTCTTTCTCAGGTTTGAAGTATTTCCTTTTTATTATCTGCATTTTTAATCTTTCTTTGTTTCTTATTGCATCTCTGAAAAAAAAAACATTTAAAACTTTCTTTCTTAATCAAAGAAATTCATATATATTTCTCCAAATTAACCTTAAAAATTTGTTTTACCCCCATAATGAAATGTCAATCATGCCTTCACATAAATGATTATTAATTAGCTCCTACTAATATTACAGTTAAAGAGCCCAGTATGATTTTGAGGGAGTTGAAAATATCTGGTAACAAATTTATTAAATGGTTGACTCATATCCAACACCTATTGCAATCTATCTATTTTAAAGCTAATGACTACCTTTTCAGCTGTTCTTTAAATTTTGAAGGTTCCAGATCATTTTCATGAAGATTAATAATCCTTTCTGAAAATTCAGATTCCATAATGTCCTCGACCAATTTTTCATCCATAGCTTCATTTGATGGATACCTGTCAACTTTTTTCCTTTGTGACTTTCTCGGTTCTCTTGGATAGATTGTCAATTGGTTTCCAACTCCACTCCTTGCATGTCTTACTTGTTGCACACCATAGAAATTCAATAAGGAGGGGTTAAGAGAGTGTTTTCCAATAAAAACTGTAAAATATTTACAGAAGGCAGCCATGTTTGAAAAGGGACATTACTCTTTAAAGATGGGCGTCCAAAATTTGGATTAGGACATGTATATTTATGTATAATTATCAAAAATTGTATTATTATGTCAGTCTATTACTTTAGACTTTTGGGACTAATTTCAGATGTTCTGCATTTTATCGGGGGTTATTTTGTGCATGAAAGCATAAAACTCATAGAGCTCTCCATATGTATTCAAAAGGAGATTTAAATGGTTTCAAACTATTCAGTCTCAAGCATCCAGTCCCGCCTTGTCTACGCTGAAGATAGAAGAAGTCTGGGTGTCAAAGACTATTGTCAAACCCGTCCTTTGATGCTTTCGTACATTTGTACCTTTACAAAATACTTAGAAAACGAAATATATCGCCAAGCGTTATAGTGTCGTACGCATCACAATAACGACACTATTACATTTTGTAACTTAAATGGAACCTCATTTATTAAGGCCTCTTTTGGCATTACCTTGGAATGAGATGTTTCAGCCAATCACCAACCAGGTTTAGGATGAACTACATTTCATCAATAGAGTTGATTTCATCAATAGCATTGATGGACGACGGTTCGTCATTGACGGGTCGACGAGATTAGTAGACTTGCGTCGAAAAATCACTTTTCTTGACTTGAAAATTCTTTCAAATTTATACCAGATTTTTATTAAGAAATGGAACATTTGCCCTCTGTCACCATATCGCATACACCAGTATCAACTATACCGGCCTATGTATTAGATGACTTGTGTAGGTAAGCACGAAGACGAAGGGATTCCCTTTTCTGATTCAACAGAAATTCATTCATTGTTTCAACCCGGGATGTTTCCAAAAAAAATTCTGTTTAGTCCGAGAAATTTGTTGGACCCTATTCATCTGCCCCAACGTAGCCTACTGATGTTGACATGAAACATAATAGTCAAATAAATATTATTATTATAATCGTCTTTCAATGTCGTAATTTTCTCACTACTAATGTCTAGAAGATGCTACAGCCCTACTTTCGCTTTATTTTGTAATAGTTTGATCATGATTCTCAATCAATGGGACTGGATGCCAGACTACTAAAAAAGTTTGATTGGTCTTTTATATAGCTTGTTCTATGGCTGTTCTTAGATTGAACACATAGATAAGCTTGATGAATGGAATGAATCATTACTAATTTCTCAAACATGTTTAATGCCATGCATTTTTATTTTTCCTTCCTTTTTTCTTTCAGTCGGTTTATTATTAATGTACCAGAACAAGAAAGAGAAGATTCAATCCGTGTGTTTTTTCAAATAGAATTAGCACATTGGTTTTATTTAGATTTTTACTGTGCTGAACAACCAGAGCTGAAAACTTGTGGAATTAAAGATTTTTCTATTCAAAATATCCTTTTATTATAGACCACTGATATTTAGGTGATAATTCTTCAATTTGGTGTTGTATTTGAAAATTTATTCCATTTGAAAGGTTATTGTCATCTTGTTATTTGCTCAATTAGAGGTACTGTACTTGTTGCTGATATTAACTTAATATAATAGTACAATCTTTCATAACAAGGGTGAAAAATTAGGCCTAAGGCCTCTTTACAATTTGGCCCTGTGAAACAAGATATAGAAAATTAATACAATATATCAATTAATATAACTTCAACTTACAATATAATATTTAAGCATACCGTTTCCGTGGTAATAATCTTTTTAAAGTGCACAAACACTTTTCAACAAACGGTGTTAGTGTGTTGTAATCTTGATCGTCGTGTAAAAATCTGGTGACCGTAGAAACAGCTATTGTGAACAATATTCCTTAACCTAAGTAATCTTTAGACATTGTCCAGTTTTAAATGGCACCCCAGACGAGGTGGAGAGAAAACTGGTGGAATGGAAGGCGTATAAAATGAGTGTACCTACGTACGGGGCCATTATACTTGATCCAGAAATTAAGTTTGTATGTCAGATTGATTGATCTACGAATAGAATTCAGTTCATCCATTAGGATTTTTTAAATAAGAAGGTTCCAAATCCCATTCTTTCCCCTTGGAAACAGAAAAGGGTTATTATAATAATATTAAACTCTTTATTTTACATGAGTCAGAATACACAAGCATATATCAGTACTTGTCAAAAATTTGCTTTGTCAGACATAGCTCCTTATATCAACTTCTATTGTTTGTCAGATTCATTGATCTTTGAATAGAATTCACTGCTTCCCTTAAAGAGATTGTAAAGAGGCTATCTAATTTTTTATGTGTATCGGTGACACTGATAGTAGCATTTAGCACCATTCCAACTTTCCTGTGGTTCCTGCAATTCCACTAAAACTAAGTGTTGTAGGCCAAATAACAAATGGCACTTCCATAAGATGCAGTAAAGGATATAAGATTTGAATTTTTTTATTTTGCAGTGTTTGCTGGTACAAGGATGGTGGGTAAAATCCAGTTGGGGATTTCCCAAGGGTAAAGTAAATGCTGCTGAGGCACCCCATGATTGTGCTAGTAGAGAGGTAAAGCATTATTTTATATCCTTGATGTTTGTTTTGTCTGGACGTTTTCTTTCATTATATAGCATTGGCTGTGTAGACCTTTAGCAGTCTAAGATTGGAAACAAAATCTGCACTTTTTGTGGTCCTGAATTCATCTCATTTAAATGTTTTTAGTATATTTTATCTATTTTTATTTCCTGATCTGTTTGTATATATCAGAGGCTGTTATATCTTGTATATTTTCACCATTACAAAATTCAAAATATACTGGACCAAATTAACATCAATTTACCATTTTGTGTTTGTGGTATTTGCTTTTGTGACATCATAATATATTGAGACATAATCATTGACTTTTAAAGAGCATTTATAGCTTGTACTTGCACCATTCAATTCCAAAATTCAAAAATACTTGACCAAATTAACATCAAAATACTGTTTTGCGTATGCGGACATCATAATATTGTGAATTTGTAATTGCAGGTGATGGAGGAAACTGGGTTAGATATCAGTCAGTTGATAGATAAGAATGTATTTTTAGAATCTCAGATGAATGGCCAGTTGATAAGATTATATATAGTACCAGGTGTTTCATTAGATACACATTTTCAACCTAAAACTAGGAAAGAGATTAAGGTGTGTCTTATACTTTTATTTTATTTTTATTATGAAGCCTGTTGATTTATCCAGGTTAAGCTGCGAAACGACGAAGTACTGTGTCCGGTGTGGTGTACGGTGCAGAATAATCGATGTAAACGAAAATAGAAGAAAATAAGGGGGCAGACACGGTGCCAACGCACTGGAACACCAAATGGGGGTGCAAATCATTGTTCTGCCCCCACTGTACTCTCGCAGTATCCCTGCTGCTGATATATTGATAGCCTGATTAGAGCAACAAAAAAAAACCAAAAAACAAGCCATATTGCAAATGTCAACCCGCCATAGCACAGGTATTCATATTGACAAAGATCCTTTTGGGCAATTATATTGTAAAATAAAGATTATACTGTATACTGTATATCCAGGGTTTTTATTCATTTATTTTGTATATTGATCAGAGCATGCAGTGGTTTCCAGTTGATGTCTTGCCTTCACACAAGAGAGATCAGAACTGTCGAACACAGTTAGGAATGAATCCTAATAATTTCTTTATGGTTATTCCATTTGTCAGGTATGAGTTCAGATGTTTTTATTTAAATTTTATATCCCTGTGGACCCTCTAGCAAGGTTTCTGAATTGACAAGCTCACAGATTGGGATCAAGTGTTGAAAAAGATGTTCATGCCCTGCCTTATGAGCCACTCCGATCTTAAAGGGATTGTAAAGACGTTTCCTAAATTTTTTACGAGTATCGTAGACAGTTATAGCATCAATTTGCACCGTTCCAATTTTCAATCAGATGTCTTTGATTCTTACAATCCCACTAAAACTAAGCGTTTTTTGACATCACTAAACTAAGGACTTTTCGATTCGTGACGTCAAAAAAACCCTTAGTTTTAGTGGGATTGTAAAAATCACAGACGTTTGATAATATCAGTGTCCCCAATACACAGAAAATTTTGAAAAAACCCCTTTACAATAACTTTAAGAAGTATTATTCATGCCATCATTGTATAGCAAATCATATTCTTTGACGCCACAGTAAAACTAAATGGTTATGATGAGTGTACACAAACTTCGTCATTTATTCAGTTTGTCACATGATCAACTGCGTTTACACACCAATAATGCTAGTGAGACCAACGTTTAATTTTGATTAAATAACAGAACACAATTTTAACTGATAATGAAATAAAATTCATCTGATGATAATAAATGTAGATAAGTACAACATTATTTACAATAAAACCAGGATGGAGTAGTATACCATAAAATTATTCTCTATTATTTCATGTGATCTCTACTCCTAAATGCCGCTTTAGGATTAATGTGGCTTAAGCATTAGAAATTTCCAATATATTTTAACTATCTTTCAGGCAGTTGAGAAAATGGATAGCAGGAAAATCAGAGTCGGAGGCGCCAAAACAAGGAAAACAGAGAAGAACTTCAGAAACAGCTGAAAACAGACACAAGCAGAAACAAAGACAACAACAGAATTTTGCTCAACAAAATCAGAACGAGTTTTTAGAATATCTACCTAGTAAGAAGGAAAAGAGTGAGACTAATATACATAATTTATTTATCAACGCTTCTCAACAGCAAGTTGGCAACCAATCACCTAGACAACAGCCACAACAGCAACACCAGCAGCAACAATTTCAAATATTGGTCAGTAATACAGTTGTTACTCAGATGTGATCAGGACAAGCCTCCCAAAACGGGGGTACAAATAGGAGGCAGGCTAAATTCATGGCTGGGGGTCTGGGGGTCTTGTAGCCCCCCCATGGAGCGTCATAGAGAGTTCTACCCCAAGAAAATTTGGAAAAGTAAAATAGATTTGGTGCATTCTGACAAATATTTTAGGGCACAAACATATAGAAATCATATTTTCAAATTGTTTGGAAGGGGTATAATTGTAGTACAAACCTTTTTTCTAGGTGGACAAATTGTTAAGTTTTAACGGAAAAACATCTGACTGAAAATTTGAATGCTTTCAATGTCCCTGATACACATAAAAAGTTTAGAAAATCTCTTTACAATCCCTTTAAGTAAAATATAAATAGGTAAATATGATAGATATAGGCCTATAGGTTTTCTGTTTTATTTATTTAGAATCGTGATGGTACTATCAATGGAGGTTCGAGAAGAAATCTAACCAATCAATTTGATAATACTAACTATAATGTCAATAATAACGGTAAGTTGAAGACATCAGGAAAGCAAAGTGCTGTGTAGCGGAGCATCGTTTCCAAACCACACCTCCATTTTTCATACTTCATTGAGACTGTGGTAATACAAGTGAAAAAAATTACGTATTCATAGCTAAGTTTTGGTCTTGGTAGTTTTATCAATTCTACTAAAACTAAGTGTTTTATGATGTCGAACCTTCAAATGTCTTACGTGATAAAGCAAATTTCGCTGTGACGGCCTCATAAAAGTTAGTTTTAGACAAGTTTTAGTGTATTTGCAGGAATTACAGCTGCTGATTGAAAATTGGAATGGTGCAAATTGATGTTATCAGTAGGCCCAATACGCATACAAAATTTAGAAAACCTCTTTACAATCCCTTTAACAAAAACATATAGATTTGTGTTCAATGGAAAAAGAAGTATGTCTCGGCTCTTGATAATTTGTACGTCATTTGCACATGAACTCACAAGTTCTCCTCGTTTGGATTTCATAGAATCCACTTGTCAGAAGTTCAATGAAACAAGTTGGAACAGGGTTCAGAATAAATTCCATATGTGCAAATAAAGTAGTGGGTGTAAACAGAATTCAAAATGGACAAGATGGAAACAGAAAGGTGAATTTGAATGTGACAATCTGGTTCTGTACCAATCGCTTGAAGCCAGAATTAAAACAGGTGGAACCTGTTTAAGGGCCTTGTTCTCAGTAACAAAAGATGATTTTAGTGTCATCTGATTGGTCAATCACTAAATTTGATTTAAATATAGTTTGTTATCCAATCAGATTATTGTATTTCTTAAAATCTGGATTATATTTTAAGTTTTGAAGAATAAGGCCCCCTGAACTAACCAATTGAGCTCCACCTAATTATTGTAATGTCTTCTTATTATGAAACCCTATCATTTTCTTTATTCCAGCTCAAAAACCACACGGCAAAGAGAGGCAACAGAAAAAATCTCATCCTAAAGACAGATTTGTTTCCGAGACTTGGTTAAATTTTAAATTAGATACTGAAGCCTTAATGGCATGTATATATTGAACTATTGGCTTTCATTCATGGATGATGTATTTCTGAGCGTAGAACTGCCTCTAATGAAGGAAATATTCAGGGTATTGCACCTCCCATTCTCGTCAATGATAAGAAAGTACCATGATAGAACCTATATTAGCTGGACAATCCAAGATGATCCAAGTATGTGTGGCAATTTTATACAGCCTTAGTGAAATAAAATGAATGGAGTTTTGCTGCTAATAGTATAGCAATTAAACTATTTGAATTGGTGCCAAACTTATAGCTTCGTTGATATATCAGACTGTAACAATGTGAGGCTTGGTGAAGTTTTGTTGGGTTCTTTACATGATGTCATTTGCTTGGTTATGTCAAACAAATGGCGGTTGTGGGTTCTAATCTCAAGGTCCAACTGGTAAAAAGGATCCTTTGTGAACCAAAGTTGTTATCCTGGTAGAATTCATGTAGAGTGCTTTCTTTCTATCTGTCAAATGGTGGGTGTTGGAGAGTGATTTTTAATGTTTTTGTGACAGTACAGAACACTTTTTTCTTTATTTATGAACATTTTTAAAGAGGCAGTCAGTGGGCAGAGATGCAGGAAGTAATCTGGAAACTAGGATTGGTTAGCCAAATCAACAGAGATGTCTGAATCACCATCTGATAACACTGAACACTACAGTTAATCACCCCATCCCCATTGTAAAAATCATTGTATCTCACCTTTAACCTTTACAGGTACTGGTAGTATTTTGTGAAATATACTTATTATGGATTCTACTGATATCACTGTTTATGTTCAATTTTAACAGTTTGCATGAAACTGAATTATTTTTTAATTTATAATTTTTCCTTTTAGGACTGTGGCTGAAATCTTTATTATTCTATTGCCATTCGTTCACTGTTTATGATAATTTTATACTCAAAAAATAAAGAGTATATAGAGATTTATTTGTATCTTTGATTGTCAAATTTAATAAAATTATTTTTGATAAAACATTATGTTTAATTGTGATTACACAGCCGTTGGGTTGACAGAGTCCTATTGTTGGAGATCAAATTGTGGGATCTCGGTTGCTAGAGTCATATTGTGGGATATCGGTTGCTAGAGTCATATTGTGGGATCTCGGTTGCTAGAGTCATATTGTGGGAGCTGGTTGCTAGAGTCATATTGTGGGATCTTGGTTGCTAGAGTCATATTGTGGGAGCTGGTTTGCTAGAGTCATATTGTGGGAGCTCGGTTGCTAGAGTCATATTGATGGATCTCGGTTGCTAGAGTCTTATTGTCGGATCTCGGCTGCTAGAGTCTTATTGTGGGAACTCGGTTGCTAGAGTCATATTAGGGTTGCTAGAGTCATATTGTGGGATATCGGTTGCTAGAGTCATATTGTGGGAACTTGGTTGCTAGAGTCATATTGTGGGAACTCGGTTGCTAGAGTCATATTAGGGTTGCTAGAGTCATATTGTGGGATATCGGTTGCTAGAGTCATATTGTGGGAACTCGGTTGCTAGAGTCATATTAGAGTTGCTAGAGTCATATTGTGGGATATCGGTTGCTAGAGTCATATTGATGGATCTGGGTTGCTAGAGTCTTATTGTCGGATCTCGGCTGCTAGAGTCTTATTGTGGAAACTCGGTTGCTAGAGTCATATTAGGGTTGCTAGAGTCATATTGTGGGAACTCGGTTGCTAGAGTCATATTGTGGGAACTCGGTTGCTAGAGTCATATTGTGGGAACTTGGTTGCTAGAGTCATATTGTGGGAACTCGGTTGCTAGAGTCTTATTGTCGGATCTCGGCTGCTAGAGTCATATTGTGGGAACTCGGTTGCTAGAGTCATATTGTGGGAACTTGGTTGCTAGAGTCATATTGTGGGAACTTGGTTGCTAGAGTCATATTGTGGGAACTCGGTTGCTAGAGTCTTATTGTCGGATCTCGGCTGCTAGAGTCATATTAGGGTTGCTAGAGTCATATTGTGGGAACTCGGTTGCTAGAGTCACATTAGGGTTGTTAGAGTCACATTAGGGTTGTTAGAGTCATATTGTGGGAACTCGGTTGCTAGAGTCATATTATGGGAACTCGGTTGCTAGAGTCATATTGTGGGATCTCGGTTGCTAGATTCATATTGGGGGAGCTGGTTTGCTAGAGTCATATTGTGGGATCTGGTCTGCCAGATTTGCAATGCGGGCTCTCGGTTGCTAGAGTCATATTGTGGGATCTTGGTTGCTAGAGTCATATTGTGGGAGCTGGTTTGCTAGAGTCATATTGTGGGAGCTCGGTTGCTAGATTCATATTGTGGAGTCTCGGTTGCTAGAGTCATATTATGGGATCTCGGCTGCTAGAGTCATATTGTGGGATCTCGGTTGCTAGAGTCATATTGGGGGAGCTGGTTTGCTAGAGTCATATTGTGGGAGCTCGGTTGCTAGAGTCATATTGTGGGATCTCGGTTGCTGGTCATATTGTTGGATCTCGGTTGCTAGAGTCATTTTGGGGGAGCTGGTTTGCTAGAGTCATATTGTGGGAGCTCGGTTGCTAGAGTCATATTGTGGGATCTCGGTTGCTAGTCATATTGTGGGATCTCGGTTGCTAGAGTCATATTGTGGGAGCTCGGTTGCTAGTCATATTGTGGGTGCTGGTTTGCCAGAGTCATATTGTGGGCTTTCGGTTGTCAGATTCATATTGTGGGATCTCGGTTGCTAGAGTCATATTGTGGGAGCTGGTTTGCTAGAGTCATATTGTGGGAGCTCGGTTGCTAGAGTCATATTGTGGGAGCTCGATTGCTAGAGTCATATTGTGGGAGCTCTGTTGCTAGAGTCAGATTTCGGAAGTTCGGTTGCTAGTCATATTGTGGGAACTCGGTTGCTAGAGTCATATTGTGGGATCTCGGTTGCTAGAGTCATATTGTGGGAGCTGGTTTGCTAGAGTTATATTGTGGGAGCTCGGTTGCTAGAGTCATATTGTGGGAGCTCGATTGCTAGTCATATTGTGGGAGCTTTGTTGCTAGAGTCATATTGTGGGGGCTCTGTTGCTAGAGTCATATTGTGGGATCTCGGTTGCTAGAGTCATATTGTGGGAGCTGGTTTGCAAGAGTCATATTGGGGGAGCTGGTTTGCTAGAGTCATATTGTAGGATCTCGGTTGCTAGTGTCATATTGTGGGAGCTCTCTTGCTCGGTTGCAGAAAACTGCCGTATTGCTAAACACGCAACCTAACCGCTAGTTTTATGATGTTAAGATTTGTCGGAAAGCCATTAGTGGTTACCATTTTTATTGGCTTTCCAATAAATCTAAACATCATAAAACTAGCAGGTGGGTTGTTTGTTTGGCAAACGGCAGTTTTCTGTGGCAAGAAAGACACTCAACAATATATTACAAGATATTGCAATAAAAAAACTAGAAATGTTTTTAGTTTTCCAACTTTCCAGTTTAATTGACAACAATACAGGTATAAATACAATGGAAACGATGGCGATATCATTTATAATATTAACACAGCCTGAGACAATATATGAAACCATTTATTTCTTTAAAAAGTCGCCAATATTAACTTTTACCGTTAAAACTATACATTTAACGTGATTCTATACAACTTCATCACAACATAAACTACTGCAATTTCTTACTTTATTGCATTTATTCTTCAATTTCTATATCTTAGAAATAGGGCTACAACAAAATGTCAAGTTTTACATCAATTTAAACTCTTGAGTTTTTGTGTAAAAGTTAATAATTCGTTGTAGCCCCCTGTTTTTTGTGAATCATTTTATTCACCAATATCAACTTTTACCGTTAAAACTATACATTTAACGTGATTCCATACAACTTCATCACAACATAAACTACTGCAATTTCTTATTTTATTGCATTTATTCTTCAATTTCTATATCTTAGAAATAGGGCTACAACAAAATGTCAAGTTTTACATCAATTTAAACTCTTGAGTTTTTGTGTAAAAGTTAATAATTCGTTGTAGCCCCCTGTTTTTTGTGAATCATTTTATTCACCAATATCAACTTTTACCGTTAAAACTATACATTTAACGTGATTCCATACAACTTCATTACCACATAAACTACTGCAATTTCTTACTTTATTGCATTTATTCTTCAATTTCTATATCTTAGAAATAGGGCTACAACAAAATGTCAAGTTTTACATCAATTTAAACTCTTGAGTTTTTGTGTAAAAGTTAATAATTCGTTGTAGCCCCCTGTTTTTTGTGAATCATTTTATTCACCAATATCAACTTTTACCGTTAAAACTATACATTTAACGTGATTCCATACAACTTCATTACCACATAATCTACTGCAATTTCTTATTTTATTGCACTCATTTTTTGGTTTCAATTTTTTTCAGTGATAATAACGAGCTTTTACCCGTATACATATAACAATATTCAAGCCAGTTTCACTACCTAGCAATCAGGCTCTGTGTTACCCGTAAGATCAGCATAAAGGCTACCATATATATTCTAGTAAGTTCTATACTTAACATTGTTCATCATTTATAATACATTGTAAACTAAACTTTAAAATATTCGGAGTCATTTCATTTTTGAATGTTTCTGATTAATCTTTTTTTTTTTAATTTCTATTTCTTTTAAGTTAAAATTTGTCACATTTTGCTAATTTATAACCAAAACTATTATTTCTTTTAATTTTCTAATCATCTATGAAATTTTGTATTAGTACAGATATGCAAGATATTTACACACATTTAAGGATGATTCCAAGCTAGACTCCCCTTCCTTTGAAGGACCCAGAACTGCACGAATATATTTGTTCAATTATAGCATGACAAAAAAAAAAAAAAAGGAAAAGGGAAATAACTCCAAATATTTCTTTTTTTCAAATTTTCTTCCGAATCCAGATATTAACGTTCTCCGATTGTTTTATTTTTTTTAAATAGATAGAAGATAGAAAGCAAGAGAATGTTAAAAAGCCATTTTACCAATTATATTAATATTAACAAAGTATTACAGTAGAGATAGAGATAGAAAGCAAGGGAATGTTAAAAAGCCAATTTTATGGATTATATATCATTATATACAAATTAAAATTTAGAAATTCTGTTCATCATACTATCGAATCTCTCAATGCCACCCTGTATTTGCTGTCTGATTTCACCTAGTTGATAATATCCTTCTTGTAGCTGCTCATATATTTCTTGCATCTGCTCACATCTTTCGTGTAGTTCACCTCTACCTTTTCTCTCAATGACATCTCTGTTGCAATCCAAAATATCTTCCTTCTGCTTCAATTTCCGGTCTGCTAAAACTTCTGCATTCAATCTGGCCATGATGGGATATTTATCACCTGAAATAGAAAATAGTAAATTAAGCCACAGTAATTGCGGCATGGATATTTTACAGGGAGTGTCCTGAGTCTACTTTTTCAGTAGAATTTGTTCTGCTTCGCCCATTCTCGGATCCAATTTATATATATATATATATATATTTATGCTCTCTTTACTGTACCTGAATCATGATTTTGTTGTGGACCTTCAAGATGATTTGAGCATTTTCCATCATCTCCATCAACCATTTCATTATCTCTCACATACTCATCAATAATTTTTAATAAATCTCTGCGAGTTTCTAATACTGATATCATCTTTCTAAAATAACTCAAATCATTTGGTTTTAAATCTTGTCTCTCCTCCAGTATTTGAAACAGATCTGTAACCTGATGTATGGTTTCTGCTAAATTACGTTTAATTTTAGCATAAAATATCAAGGTTTTAAGTTCTTTTTGGTCCAAACTAATAGCAATGCTAATAAGCATTGCACGAAAATCCGAATTTCTATCTTCCATTTTTTAGTCTGAAATACAAAAGACAACAACTCAAGGTTCACTGTAATTTTGGCACAAATATTTTAATTAGACACAATCATGGCATACCGTCAATAAAGCACACACTCTCTCTTTCTCCCCTCTCTCTCTCTCTCTCTCTCTATCTCCCTCTCCCCCCTCAATTGAGAATGGCTGCATATATAGGCCTATGTTCAGTGTTGCGTGTAGGGTCGTTACGCCCCATGCTCAATGACTACAGAAAAGGGTTAATTTGGTATAGATATATTTGACAAACTCAGGGGGTGCAGCAAAAGCATAGGTAGCCTAAAACTTGGGCATAAAAATAGAAAGAAAGGATCCTTTCTACCAGCTGATCCTTGGCCAAACCTCTTGGAATTGATCTTTCCCACATTATCCGCACCCATTTACAGTTGGGTCGACTGGAATTATGAGTGAAGATCACTTATTCAAGGTCAATCGAAATCGGAACCCATAGCGACCATTTTCTCGACATAGGCCTAACCAAGAAAATGACGTCATGTAAAGAACCAACGCTCTAACTAACTGTTCTATACAAAAATGTGTCTCCACGAAAGCCCAAATAAGAATTGTCACGCTAGTTTTTATGGTAACCTGAAGATTGTGAACATCTGAATTCGATTGATTCTCAAAGTCTCGGCATCGAACCGTACAATACAGTTCCCGTGTTGATTTTGAGTCAGGGCTACGTGAGTGGCGAACTCATTGACGGAGTGACGAACTCACTGACGGTGTGACGGGTGAGGTAGAATTAATTGTTGATTTTTGTCCCCTAGCACCCCCCCCCCCCCCCCCTCCCTCCTTTCCCTCTCATCATCAAACAAGGAAATAATAAACCCTTTAGACTACCATGAGCGCGGGGAATCCCCTAAAATGTCTCTGCCTGTGAAGGAGATGTGAAAACCGATTGTAACAGTCAAACTTTCGTATATCAGAGAATTAAAACAGTAGAATTTGGTTCTATGATAGTAAAACAATGTGTTACGTGTAAAATTAGAAGTATTAAAGAATTATAACATTTATTAAAATGGATTAAAAAGTTCACTTACAGTTACAAGTTAGTCTTCATGTAGCTTAGTCCGAAATATATCTGCCTACTACACCAGCTGACATCTGTCCAAATAGCTATCAAAGGTTTGAATAGAGACATATTTTTCGGTCTACATGCAGCTATGTGGAGCTGCGCATGTACAAAAAAGCGCATAATATGGCGGCTTTTCTCGCTACGCCTGAAAAATTAATTTTTCAGATTTGTTAAAAATAAACTGAGGGTACAATTAGACGTGCAACCCACTTTTTTACGGGTGCAAATTCGACTCTTGCTCGCACAATCGGACTCTGGTAACGGCAATCTTACTGAAGCTATACATCTTTTGCAATTTGACTCTTGCAACCTCTATACTTATGGTGGCCTACTTAATTATCAGAGGGTGATTGGGACATCTTTGTTGGCTTTGTCAATCTTTATTACTAACTAATACTTAAAAATCAAATTGTTTTAAACTACAATCAAACTTTCTTGTATGTAGGCGAGTTTTTTTTATGGTAAGCAGAAACACTTATACTTTGACATACACGTGTCCTTACATTATTTCAACCAAACCCGAAGAGGTAGGCCTTGCCTTTAGGCCTACTGTTTGAAACTAAGCCTGATAGGCAGAATGACTATAATTAAGCCTTTCTAGTCCAAACTAGGCAGTGGGATAACTCAGTTGGCGGCGAGGGGCAATGTATCCTACTAGGTAAACAGTCAGACAGGATTAGTAATTTGAGTCATCTCTACGACGATTGGTTGGCAGATGACCAGTTAAACCAGTGAACATCCACTTTAAGCTAAACCTGTTATTGCATGGTAGTTTGTGATAGATGACAAGTTAACATCCAGTTAACTGATATCTTAGATTAAGAAGTTGTTGGTAGATGGCAAGTTAACCTCCACTGGCCTGCTAGTTAACTGATATCACAGACTAGGTAGTATGGTAACATCCGCTTCATGCAAAACTGGACGTATGAAGGATTGAAGGAGGCCTAGTAGTGAAAGAGGATAGTCATCAATCATAACCTAAGTTTGGACCTCTGTCACCATGAACCTAGCCAATATAACCCTGGGCTTTCTGGATGGATATATCGCCATAGACCATGGTCCATGCACTTAAAAACAGAACAGCAAACTTGAAAAGATGCTTATTAAAAAAGAACACAACAAAGTTTGATATCATCAGGTGTAATATCAATTGTATATATACAATAACAACAGATTTTTTCTATTAAAATAATGCTCATTACATCAGTTGTAGAGCGATCTTGTTACTCAAGAGTTTAACACAATGTGATCTTCAGACCTTTCCTGAAGATTGCATGATGTGAAACTCGAGTAACAACTTGTTTCAGGTTCTGGTTTAATATTTCTGTAGATATATGTATAACAATAATATGAATTTATGTTTGTGTAGTTAATAAGTTGACACTAAGTCTGGTTGGCGAAGTTGTTGGTTGGTTGAAGGACTTGGTGGCCAAACTTTCAAAAGATTTACATTCTAAGAATTCTTCTGTGGTATTTTGATTGTGACCTGAAATAAAAAAAAATTGGGGTTACTTCCCTTTATCCTGTCGGTTGGGTCAAAGCACTGCTTCAGAGAGCTAAATATCCAGTTATACTGTCATTATTTTGTGTTACATTTCTAATAGACATCAGGTCAAAGTTGAAAACAAAGTGCTCTCATTTACTTTTTTAGGCAAGAAAACACAACAATCTGAACTGCTTTTTTTCTTCCTTTTGAGCTCAAATGTTCTTTTGTCTTTGGTAGTGTCAGCTTTTGGATAAGACTCAAAAGCTTGATTACAATTTCTTTTCATTTTGTTACCTGATCTGTTCTACTACAGTATCATTCTAATTTCATTATTTTCAAAGCCTGCGTCTTGATGACATACTGAATAGTAGTATAGCGAAACCCAGCACAGAGCATGACAGTCTACCCGTGTTTTGCTATACTACTATTCAGTATTTTATCTTTAAACGGTTCTGCATGACACACTTTGATTGGTTTAGAATAAAGAAATTAGAATGTGACTGTAGTAGAAAACTTGTTGGATTACACTGGAAGCGAAAAAATATCAGAAAAAAAATGCAGTTTGACCTCCAGCTGAGGATAGCTCTTGGAGTTGGAGAATAAGGAAGAAATACATGTATCTAACTTACTGTTTTCACTTCAGTATAGTTATCTAAACCGTATTCACCAAGTTCTCTTCCATTTCCAGACATTCTGTATCCACCGAATGGAACACTGGCATCTAACACATCATAACAGTTCACCCTGAATAGAAGCATGTTTTTCATGTATTTTATGTAATATCTATATGTGTGAAAAGGATTGTAAAGATGTTTTCTAAATTTTTTAGGCACCATTCCAATTTTCAAGCTGATATCTGTGGTTCCTGCAATTCTACTAAAACTAAGTGTTTGATGACATCACTAATCGCTAAATATGCTTTATCACATAAGACCCTTCCTGATTAGTGTCACCATAAAATGCTTAGTTTTAGTGGAATTGGCCCAGAATAAATGATAACACTTTTCATTTCAGGATTATTTCTCAAGTATCTGATTCAAGGCATCGTAGATTTACGAAGACTGCAGATGTATGACTGGGGTACATACTCCAGTAAAAACAGCTGGATAATCTTGACTGCAAACAAGGGAGGTAAACTTCTGTAACAGAATATTTACCAAACTGTGCCAGCACGTAGACTGTTGGACAGGTACAAAGCTTTGTCTAAATCTTTGGTAAAGACAGAAGCAGCCAAACCATAAATTGTGTTGTGGGACTTTTCAATGACTTCATCAAGGTTTTTAAATTTGGCAATACTCATAACTGGTCCAAAAATCTAAAAAATAGAATAAATGGTTTGGTGTATATTTCAATGGAGCCCTGAAGTGGTGTTGCTAAGAAACATTAGACAGAAGGACCAAGTAGAAGCCAGAGGGGTCTCAGAACACAGGTCATTTAAAAATTTAAAATCCCCAATCCCCCTCTAGTGCCACTGAGCCCTTGGAGACTTATAGGCCATTTTCCACGCCATTCTTTTTTTCAGTGGTTCCTGTTATCTAATTCCCCCAAAATTTAGTTAACCACTCTCATTATCAGCATTAGTCTGATACTAATACTTTAAAGGGACAGGTGTGCCAGTTTGGGGGGTTGATTTACAACCTGAATATATGTAAATAGTGTTCAGAAGAAGTACTAGAAATGTACGCATATCACAAAATTCCTTTAGAAATACTTCAAACTAGGAATTTTACCTCACTATTTCTATATATATCTTTTCTATATTTCACAGAGTATCTTAAATTGGTGAAAATTAATGCGCCTGACTGATATTTATTGTTGAGGTATGTATTGCGTTCTTGAAATAATACTCTTTCCAACCACATGAAATGCAATTTTCAAACTCTTTCATGGGGAACCTGCTCCCAGAACACCCCAGCTCTTGCTTCATTTCCCTGCTCATTTTTTGGCAGTGATGTTCTGCAGGGCCGCTGATACAACTAACACTACCTTACACTCTATATAACTGACCTCTTCTTGTTGAATCTTCATGTTTTCTCCTACATCTTTAAATATGGTTGGTTCAATAAAATATCCCTTATCACCCACACGTTTTCCTCCAGTTGTCATCTTGGCTCCTTCCTTCTGTCCTATATTGATATACTTCATCACTTTATCAAACTGTTCTTTATCAACCTGTAATGAAATTGAAAAAGCATTGAGTTTTACACCCTACTGGTTTTATCAACCTGTAATGAAATTAAAAAAGCATTGAGTTTTACACCCTACTGGTTTTATCAACCTGTAATGAAATTAAAAAAGCATTGAGTTTTACACCCTACTGGTTTTATCAACCTGTAATGAAATTGAAAAAGCATTGGGTTTTGCACCCTACTATATCTATGAATCTGCAGAAAATAGAATTGTCAGTAAGTTTTTCAGCAAACAAGCTCTCATTTCACTCTCTTGTTTTCTATCATTTTAACTTTTTTATTAGCTATAATCAAGAGAAGGTAGGTAACTCTACCTGAGGTCCTTGTTCAACATTAGTAAAAGGATCTCCAACAGTTCGTTTCTTGGCTCTTTCGGTGCTTTTTTCAACAAACTCATCATATATCTTCTCTTCTACGTAAACTCTACTTCCTGCACAACAACATTGGCCTTGGTTGAAAAATAATCCAAAATGGGACTGTTCTATGGCATAGTCAACTGAAAAGGAAGACAAACTTGAATATTATTAAAGAAAATGTGCCTGATGTGAGAAGAAAATACCAATTATACTTTTTCTTTATGGCTCTTATTTGCATCATTCAATATTTTGTCAGATGTTTGTGCTTTCTTTTATCATCAACTATGACGTGACTATTGTAAAGCTGCCAAATGACAGATGGTTACTAACTTGCAAGACCTAAAGATGTTTGACTAAAAATTGGAATGGTGCAAATAGATGCAATCAGTGTCCCTAATACACAATTTTAGAATACTTCTGATTATTTCTGTGGGCTGAAGACAAATTGCACAAATGAAAATTCTATGATGAATATTTGTGAAATGACAGCAAAAAATTAATTCCGAGCTCTCTGTTGTCGGAGAGTAATAAAAATCTACTTACGGTCTGCGTCTGCCATGACAATATTGGGACTCTTTCCTCCTAATTCTAAGGTCACTCTTTTTAAATTCGAGTCTGCTGCTGATTTTGCTACAATCTGACCAACCTGAAAATAATAATTTTGAAATAAATAACAAAATATAGACTATTATATTATATCAGCTGATTGAGCTTAGTTTCAGCCATCTGTGGCACTTCACAGATTTAACCTCAACATCCAAGTTGATTTCAATTCAATAATTTAACCATTTTTAAAAACGTTAAATTGTAACACTCCAAAAATATGGTATCATTGTATTCCTTTGATAATATCATACTATGTGATAAACTTGGTGGATCTTTTCCACAAAACAATTTCAAAGAAATTACATGAAGATTACCTATTAAAGTGAAACATATGAAATAGTTAGAGATGTGTTGAAGAGACTACCCAACCTACCTCTGTGGATCCAGTGAAAGCCACTTTATCTACATCATTATGTCTAGCGATGGCAGCTCCAGCAGTTGGTCCGTATCCTGAGATAACATTAATTACACCAGGTGGGAAGCCAGCCTGAAATACACACCAATAGAATCATTCAATCAAGATAAACCACTTCAAAACCTGGGTTGCTGATACAGGTAACATTTGTGTTTGTCCGCTCAATATGACCGGCTGAAAACAGTCTCGGTTGGACATTAAGTATGAAATCAAAAACATCTCAGCCCCAGCCCCCCACCCCCCACCCAATGTTTTGAAAAAGCTTTTGACTTACCTCAATGGCTAAATGAGCAACATGTAAGGCAGTAAGAGGCGTCTGTTCGGCAGTTTTCATGACAACAGTGTTTCCCATGGCCAGAGCAGGTCCCAACTTCCAAGCTTGCATCAATAATGGAAAATTCCACTGAAAAACAGAATCTTATATAGAGATTATATTCTTCAGTCCTGGCTCCTGATAAATCCAACTGATGACTCTTTTGACAAAGTCTGAGACTTTAAATTTTATGTCCATTCTAGGACGTAGTTTTCCTGTCAAATCCAACAGGTCCCTGAGAATTCAAATTACACCATTAAAACATTTAGCACCAAACTCTACAAAGATAAGAATGCCAAAAGTGGGGGCAATGACCCAAGACAAAGATACTCACTGGAATAATCTGTCCACAAACACCAACTGGTTCATGACGGGTGTATGCAAAAAAATCACCATCTGTAAATAGAGACACACAATCATAATTACATAGACACCCTCTAGACAGGCTGACAGAGAGACATGATCAAAATAACATCCATCCTTTGCACCCTCCAGAAAGACTGATCCTGAAATCAATCTCGGACATACAAGGTTTGCACGCTCTAGTTGAAGGAACTACATATTATGTACCTGGTTTTTCCCTAAGAACTCACTGTATACCAAACAAAAACACACCCTTTAGGTTGCTGAGATCCCAATCATTCCCTTCACACCCTGTAGGTTGGCTTTGTGATATCCAAGCCAAGAATAAAGAAATGTGACTGACCTATCGGAATTGTTTTTCCATGGTTTTTGTTGGCCCAACCGGCATAGTATCTGAAAGATCAAAGAGAGTAAATGTTATACACTTTGGCTGCTGTTTCACAAAAGTTTAACTAGGATAAAATCCTTATTTTAAGAAAGTTACCTTTAAAACTGTAACATTAAAATCCACAGAAGTTAGGATTTTGTGAAATCCTGGCCACGTATTCTCGAAAGATCTTAGCGCTAGGATGTCCTAGATACAGTGTTAGATGTTAAGGCCTTAAGACATCTTACTGCTAAAATCGTTTCACGAATTCGCGGCCTGCGGTTAAGCCAAGATACCTTGTATTATGTTATTCTTTAATGTCCAATGGACCAGTGAAATAACAAATTACCTGTAGCACTTGACAACCAGTCCTAAATCTGCTGCTAAAGCCACATTATAGGGTTTGCCATTATCCAGTGTTTCTAGAGACTGCAATAGAGAAGATTTTTCATGAAGCTTGTGTAAACATTTATGGCTTATTGTTAACGGATTTCAGGTCAAGATCTCTGATTGGCTGTATTTGCTAACTTATAATCCATACAAACCTCATTGATAAAAGAAAAGTGTCTAATGATGTCAAGGCATTAGACACAGTTCCTGATAGCTTGGCATTGTGAAGATGTGGGTTAACATGAAGGCAATAAATTCATTAAAGTACCTACTGCTAAATAGCCTCTGTCTCGCTCTATCAAATCTGCTAATCTGTATAGAAGATTTCCGCGTTCTGAGGCATCCAATCGTCTCCATGGCGACCCTAATCTAAAAGCTTGATTGGCTGCTTTCACAGCTTTATTTACATCGGCCTGAAAACAGATAATACTTAAATATGAACACATTTTCATTGACTGACCTGGTTTTGAACATTTTAATCGACCATAAGTTGCACTAATTTCAGTTTAGGCTGATTGATTTATATTTTCATAATCACATTTCATAAAAATTAGTAACAATTGAAAATGTTCTAGCTATAGACTGAGATAAGTTACAGATCATTCTCGCAAATGACTTCTATAAAAATAAATTCTAAATAATAATTCCGTTCAAAATAATATTATTAGTAAGATACAATGGATCCAGTTTCTGGACTTAATAGTCTACAGTTACTCAAGGTTGAAACAACTGTAGAGAGTGTCTTATATTTCTAGATTTATTTGAAAATCCACAAGAAAAATGTATGCCTACAATTCAATTTGATTAGTAGATTGTCTTGTCTTTTAATTTTGTCTACTCAAAGAAATAAATTGGAAAAGGGGTCAATTTAACGAATAATATTAACAGTGTTTGTCAACTGATAACAAAAAAGAAAGATAATATTTCTATAAAAATATCAGCCTTGGATAAGATAAAGTCAGTATATTAAAGAGATTGTAAAGAGGTTTTCTAATTTTTTTATGTATCAGGGACACTGATAGCATCAATTTGCACAATTCCAGTTTTCAATCAGACCTCTGACTATGGTTACTGCAAATTCCCCTAAAACTAAGCGTTTTGTGACATCACTAATCAAAAGATATCATTAGTGATTTCATCAAAAACTTAGTTTTAGTGGAACTGCAGGAACCACAGATGTCTGATTGAAAATCAGGATGGTGCAAATTGATGCTATCAGTGTTCCTAATATACATACAAAATTCAGAGAACCTCTTTACAATCCCTTTAATATTTCACAACAACTAGAGCATTACAGAAATATTAGTAACGTCTAGTAGTTTGTGAAAAGATATCACATATTATTTTAAACCCTATTTTTTTCTAAATCTATGCTATATTTTTCTTTTTTGACATTTTGACTGACAGCCAGAGTTAAGTTCTAAGTAAGATATGATCTAATATTTACTATGATATTTTCTGAACATTGGATAAAAGTGAAGATGCAAGTTTTCTCACCAAGTCAATTTGATAATCAAATTAGAAAGGATGGATCCAAGGTAGAAATAGGGGGCAGATTACCTCAATAAGGCGTGGAGCTTCTGAGAGAGTTCTCCCAAGACAATTTTCGAAAAAATTGAATTAATTTGGTGCATTCTGACACATATTTTGGGACAAAATTGAAATAATACTTTAAAATTTGTTGAAAATGAAGAGGGGTACAAATGTGGGATGCAAACCTTCTTATAGAGTAGGGGGGGGGGGGGGGGCAAATTACAGATCTACTTACTGCATCTCCTTCAGCGACTTCACAAATTACCTCCCCTGTTGATGGATTTATCGTTTGAAATGTTTTCCCGCTTTCTGCATTCACAAATTCATTGTTGATGAAAATCTGAAAAATATAACCACATATGTGAATGGTTTGTGAGACCTTCAAAGTCTCATAACACTGGTCTTAATTGTTCCGGCACACAACTATTCTTTGCCAACTTGATCATAAATTTCAGTTTAAGAGAGTTTCTGGGTTTGTAAATCCATTATGAAGTACATGGACTGAAAGAATGGTTTTATTTCATTATCAATGATCTCAAATTCTCATAATTTACTATCCCTTACTTATAATGATGAGTTCCTCAGTACTTATGTACCAGTATATATATATATACAAGATTGATTGTGGTCTACTTTGATCACAGTACATCATGTACTAAGCCTTGAATCAGACCAGCCTTGATCTGTTTGTCACAGATAGTTAGATAATCATAATCACTTTTCTAAACAGGTTGATAAAACTACATTAAACCAAATTAAAGCTGTTTTCAACAAGAAATGTTATCATAAGGGGATTGTAAAGAGGTTTTAAACTTTTTTTGACCAAGCGAACCTTAGTCTCATAAATGATAATTCTTTTAGCCAAGCCAATAAGTAATAGTGTTCACAGCTCAAATGCTAAACCTCATATAAAGTAATCATCAGCAGAAGCTGAAAATTAATACAAATAGATGTGATCATTGTCCCAGATAAACATAAAAGTTCAAATAACACCCACAATCCCTTTCATTTTAATTTTAAATTTGAATTACATCTTTTGTATACATGAACTTCAAGGCACAATTTTCACTATAGCATCTTTTATCAAGATTGTTAAAAATGCTAATTATCCAACAAGTGCAGGCAACCATATCAAAGTATAGACTTTGCCCTTTCTTACCCTTGCTAACATCATCTTCACAATATCAATATACCTTGACTGCAATAGCCACTGTTCTTTTATCATGGAATGTTGTGATTTGATTGGATGGTACCCCAGCAAAGACAGCCAATTAGAGCCCTTTATATAAAGACTTTAAACATTAGATTACAGATTTTCTGTCAAGGCCTCCCATGGCTGTATTTGCTGGTTTGGGTGAGGGGTGCATGGCTATGTCAATTATACAGAAATAGAAAAAGGTAAGTGTCTTGATGAAACCAAATCTTCACAGTGTCAAGCTTTTCGAACTTTGTACTTTCAAACTTCGAGGTCCGTTGACATTGCGAAGATGAATAAAATCAAAGCTTGTCATTTTTAGCAATTTTCATCTATATTTCTTTCATGCTTTAATGATTTTATCATATCAATATCTAGATAAACTTGTCTGAAGGTCGCATAGCGAATAACAATTCAAGTTCTGTTTTAATATTTCTATATCACTCTACAATTGATGTATTGAGCAGTATTTTAATAGTGATATTTCTGTATCGCTCTATAATTGATGTATTGAGCAGTATTTTAATAGTGATATTCTATATCACTCTACAATTGATGTATTGAGCACTATTTTAACAGTGGTATTTCTATATCACTCTACAGTTGATGTATTGAGCAGTATTTTAACAGTGATATTTCTATATCACTCTACAATTGATGTAATGAGCACTATTTTAATAGTGATATTTCTATATCACCCTATAATTGATGTAATGAGCACTATTTTAATAGTGGTATTTCTATATCACTCTACAATCGATGTATTGAGCAGTATTTTAACAGTGATATTTCTATATCGCTCTACAATTGATGTATTGAGCATTATTTTAACAGTGGTATTTCTATATCACTCTACAATTGATGTAATGAGCACTATTTTAATAGTGATATTTCTATATCACTCTACAATTGATGTATTGAGCAGTATTTTAATAGTGATATTTCTATATCGCTCTACAATTGATGTATTGAGCACTAATTTAACAGTGGTATTTCTATATCACTCTACAATTGATTTATCAAGCACTATTTTAACAGTGGTATTTCTATATCACTCTACAAATGATGTATTGAGCACTATTTGAACAGTGATATTTCTATATCGCTCTACAATTGATGTATTGAGCAGTATTTTAATAGTGATATTTCTATATCACTCTACAATTGATGTATTGAGCACTATTTTAACACTGGTATTTCTATATCACTCTACAAATGATGTATTGAGCACTATTTGAACAGTGATATTTCTATATCACTCTACAATTAATTTATCAAGCACTATTTTAACAGTGATATTTCTATATCGCTCTACAATTGATGTATTGAGCACCATTTTAACAGTGGTATTTCTATATATCTCTACAATTGATGTATTGAGCACCATTTTAACAGTGGTATTTCTATATCGCTCTACAATTGATGTATTGAGCAGTATTTTAACAGTGGTATTTCTATATCGCTCTACAATTGATGTATTGAGCACTATTTTAACAGTGGTATTTCTATATCGCTCTACAATTGATGTATTGAGCAGTATTTTAACAGTGATATTTCTATATCACTCTATAATTGATGTATTGAGCACCATTTTAACAGTGGTATTTCTATATCGCTCTACAATTGATGTATTGAGCAGTATTTTAACAGTAAATTCAACAGTAAAAATATTTTATCATTGCAAGCTTATCTTTTTGTATATCTAACAAGTCTTTTCAAGAGGAGCTGTGCATTTCATAGAGTTCACTTCCACACCTTAATAATGTCCATGCACCGGAACATTAAAAAACATAATAGAGAGTAGAGACTGGAGAGATTTCCCTCCTATCTGTAAAGTTGGTCAGATGATTTCCCAGGAAGATATCATTTTATACTGTGTGTTCAAGTCTGAAGATTATTCAGCTTATGATTATAGTCAATTTAGTATCTAAAATTCCATTCAAGGCCATGGTTTTTAGGGTTTGATTTTGGTCTTGAATGTATGTTAATAGTCTTCAGAACTACAAGAACTGCACAAAAAATCGCATTTGAAAAAAATTGGCATTGACCCCTTGCCATGTGAAGTTTGTAATAGCCACTGCCCCTCCCCTTCTTGAGTCTGCAGTCGCCACTGAATAAGAATCTACTATCTTCTATGTATAACTGTATTTTGTATATTGTGTGTTTACATAGTATATGCTGAGCACATTTAGTGCAATTCAAGTAGCCAATAGTAAATAAGGCCTATTTAGGTTACAAAGAAAAGGCCTACTCAGGCATGAAAGGAGAAAAGTATTAACTTGAAAAGAAAACAGGCCAGCCCTCCCGTGACCCACTTTAGATGGTAAACAGCCATTCTTATTAAGATGCCAATTGTTATAGATATATCAAATGGATCAACTAATTCGCAGTAAATAAATACAACATTTTATCACTGCTTACCCAAACTGCCAATATGATTTGCTAAACTGTCAATATCAATTTTAATACCATTTGCTAAACTCTTAATAACATGTTCTAAACTCTTATGAAATCAAAATTAACAGATTAATCAAAAGACTAAATCATCGATTTTTAACCAATTTTAATGACTAAAGGAATAAAAATTTGCCTATTGACTACGAGCTGAGAGGTCCCCTTATGATGTATGGGTCAAGGCCAAGGATCAACAGCTGACCAATTGACCTAGCTGGTTGTTCCCTAGTTTGTTTTTGAAGTTTCAAATATTATATTCAAAAAATGGGTTTTACAAGAAATTTAACAATTAGTACCAGTACTTAATACTGAGCAATGTTTTTTACACAATGTAATGCACCCTCAACTGTGCACTAGCCATTGTAAAATATACAGTTATAATAGTGGAAAAATAAATATAAGCACCAATGTAGGACAAAGTAGGCCTAATAACCATAACAGTTAACACTCATACAAAGTTACAAAAGTACAAAATTCACAACCGTTACCTTGGCATACTTTACTTCTGGTGATGTGATGGGGGCCGGGGTGCCTGACATACAGGCAGTCTGTGATCGCAGTAAATTCCATAACAGAGTCTTTCTGTTGTTTACAAGTCGTGAAACGAACGCCATGATGTACTACTCTGTGTAGCCTCCGGTGTCAAGTCGATACAATGTAGTCGTAAAGGATGGCCGAACTTATATTCTTGAACGGTAAGTATATCTTTGTCTTCTGATTGGATATGAATATTACAGTCGAAATCGCCCGCTAACATTGCGTCCGAACTGATCACATGACTACCATACCACTAGTAATAGCGCCACAATGCTATTGGTCTTTGATGATACTATAATACCAGCATTATATAATAACAACATATTAACAAAGTTTTGAGAGTGGCTGAATTATAGCGACTCAACAAGTCATTCTAAATGTTACAGGGGGAGAAAATTTTGATAGAGGAAGGGGGAGGGGGGCCTAACATACCTCTTGCTGCGGGCCTAGGTATTAGGTGTTGAAAGCAAACACCGGCACAGCACTGGCACAGGCATTAGAATTTTTCTTACATTCTCTTTGTGAATATTTAATTATTTTATATTGTATATGGTTATAAACACTACTATGATAAATAAATAAAAATATTCTATTATTGACCAGTGAATCAATTGATGTTGTCTGATATTCAGTATTATCTCCCCATCTAGCACGCGGATCATTGGGTTAAATATTTTATTAAGTGGGTGAAAAAAGAGTGGCGTTTCTACAAAGTGAGACAGGGAAGGGGGTCAAAGAGGGGTTAACACCTCTCTGAATTGGTGTCGGTGGCTCCGCCTCAAATTTCTTATCATAGAGCCCTAAAAATTCCTAGTGCTTTGAGCGCCCTTAGACAATTTTTTCTCTCTCCTCTACCCTCCACCGTCTTCATTAGCCCACATGGTGCAGAAAAGTAGGACGTAAAACTCCATTCATTTCATTTCATTTCCTCTACCCTCCACACACCAAATGATTGACGGAAATGCGATTGGAAACATGGAAAAGGGCATACTGATATTGTATATTGGATATTATGAATTTGCTTAGGATTGGTACACATCACATATTTTCTTGTTTGGGTTTGATTTAATTTAGTCCTAGAAAATCCCGGTGACCCCCACCCCCACCCCTGCATGAAGGAACAACACTCGAAACATACCCTTTGGAATTGGCCCTTAGAAATTTACCCAGCTTTTATCGTAGAAGTATATAACCGTATATGCACCATCACAGCGTAACGTGTTCTTGCATTTTTATCGACATCGGAGGTCGGAAATACACCTGTAATATTTATCATTTTTACTTTTAATAAGTTCAGTTGTTAACTGGTCGTAAGATCTAGTTGTCTGGGATTCCTTTGGAATTAGAAGACGTGTAAAAAATAACTTCTGACAACTCATGTTTCGAAAGTTGTTAGATTTATGTTAAGAATTCTGGAAAAATGTCTTAAGAGTGATTGAAAAACATTTGTCAGAATAGTATTTACAGAGACGCAGGTGATAAATAGAAAAGCTCGTATTCAAATTCTGTTTCTGTGTCAAAATCATAATAATCTTAAGCGACCCAGAAGCGAAAATTTCCTAATTTTGGACGATAATAAAGATTGTGTACAAGCACTGGCAGTGGGGACAGCTCTAAACAAGAAAATAACATCATCGACGTTTAAGTGACGCTTCTAAATAATCTGAGTTAAAATTCAAAATTTTCTAGTATCCTTTTTAAAGGCGAATAAAACATCGTGTACAAGGAAGCACTGGCCAAGGGGGCAGTTATCAAGAGAAATGGCATTACCAGAAGAAAAGAAAAAGCCATCGTTAAAGAGACAGTTGGGATTAATAAAAGCTACTAGCTATATCACGGGTGGAATTATAGGAGTCGGGATTTTTATCGGCCCGGCGCCTATTTTAAAAGGGGCCGGATCATCTATAGGAATCTCCCTAACTATATGGGTATTTTGCGCATTATTAGGGTACTGTGGTGCAATGTGTTATGCTGAATTCGGTGAGTTTTAATCGAATCTATTTTGGATAGTTGACCATCCCTCTGTACAGCTTCGGAGAATGGAGTAGTTACAAGTGAAGAATAAAGAAATGTTTGTAGAAACAACATTGAAATGATTGCCCAAAAGACAAAAAAATGTTTTCCTGCTTTGATAATCCCTTGTCTAACCTCAGTAGGAACGCAGGCTGAAAATTGGTCAGTTGTCTGAAGATCGCTCTGAGTAACAACATGTTTTTTTTAGGTTCTGTTTTAATATTTTTAATACGTATATTTTTTTCATGTAGATTTCCACATCAATATCGCCGAATTTTAGATTGGGAGGATGTGTGGTGTGGATTAAATAACACTGATATAAAATCGCTGATTCCTGTGAATCAAATTGGCATCCGTTTTGAAAAATCTGTCTTTTACTTCCAGGTACAAGAATTCCAAAATCAGGCGGAACCTATACCTACATTCGGGAAGCCTTTGGGGATGTGGCGGGTTTCACGTTTCTATGGAGTCAGGTGGTGTTTCTCCGACCTCTGGCCACTCTCCTAGGGTCACTTGCAGCAGCTGAATATATCGTCAGTCCATTCTTTTATGGGTGTTTTCACATAGCACCTCCTTCTTCTAAATTTCTAACAGCAGTTATTATTATAGGTAGGTGACAGTTTTTCGGTCCTTGAAAGCGGGGCTCTGATTGGCTAAATTCGCAAATCTTCAATCGAAACAAACCACTTCATTTAATTCCGAAATATACTTCTGTATTTGTTCATACACTTAATCTTTTATTAGTTTCTACCACTACATTTGGATTAATAGGCTTATTTCTTCATTTTATATTTTGTAGGATTTGTAGTAGCAGTAAATTGTTACAGTGTAAGTTGGGGAGGTTCTATACAGACTCTAGCAGCTGTTTGTAAAGTTTCAGCTTTGGTTGTTATCGTAATCAGTGGTTTAGTTCATCTTTTTCAAGGTTTGAGCTTTCTTATCAAATTGGGCTCGATTGGGAATTTATAGTACTTAGATAAATTCTAAAAGAAAGCCTTCCTGTGGAGGGTTTTGAAATAGCAAGAAATTGTTTTGAAGTCTTTTTTTCTCCTGTTCTTCTTACTATATATTCTTAAATGTTGATCGGAGAAAAAACTTCGCACTTTTGTACTCTTACATGAGAAATGGTCCCGGGCTATCATTTTTGATTGGTATTTCAGGAAATGTTGAGAATTTCTCCGATGCATGGAAAACTGACGGTACTATATCACCTCAGAGTATAGTCTTAACAATCTACGTCTGTACCTACGCCTATATCGGCTGGTAAGTTATCGGTCATTTTGTAGTTAAATAGTATGATACAAGGGAAACTCTGAGCTTGTTAGTGCTTGACACTGCAAAAAACAACTTGCTGTGAAACCAGCTCAGTTACAATACAATATAATACGTGGCAGTAAGCATACGAATATACTTTTAAATTTTTGAAAATCCTAAATGAAGTTCATAAAGCATGGATGGATATTGTTGAACGCTGAGCAACACGATTTCCCCACAATTTTCGTATTAATGAAGCCGACGCACTCTCCATTTAGAATGAGATAACAATACTAGAATTGAAGTAAAATTGTTAAAAATGTACTATTTCAGGGACAATATCACAACAGCTACAGAAGAAATATCAAATCCAAAACGGTCAGTTGATAAGTGATACCCCCACCGCAATATGCTGTATCAGTCAAGAGTATTGTTCGTAAGAATGATAGAACATTACGACTTTGCTACGACTCTTGGCTAAGAAGCACAGCTTTGGGGTGTTGACACGTATAAGATTCAGATTCGTAGCAATGAACGCACATCATCTCTTATATAAAGCCTTTTTGGGGAGTTGTATGGAAAGCGGGTTTTGGCAAATAATAATGTTATAGAATAGGCCTTGTTACGATGAATTTGAATTGAAAAATTTTGGCCCTATGGCTCTATGCAGTTAACCCCTTAACAGTCTTTACTGCGTCTTAAGATTATACACATTGAATATGGAAAAATTATATTTGAAAAGATAGTGTTTTGTTTTTCTTGTTTTCAGAAACATACCATTATCCATACTAATAGGATTCACTATATCTACAGTAGTTTATCTGACGGCGAATGTAGCTTATCATACCATCCTCACCAATAAAGAAATTATGTCTGGGGTCGCAGTCGCTGTGGTAAGTCGAGTTGGGATTTTTATTTTTCCATCTAAAGGGATTGTAAAGAGGTTTTCTAAATATTTTATGACTATGTGCATCGGGGACACAGATAGCGTCGATTTGCTAATTTAGAAAACCTCTTCACAGTCCCTGTAAGGTTGATCCTTTCTACCAGCTGGTCCTTGGCCAAACCTCTTGGCATTGAACTTTCTTTGATTATCCCCACCCATTTACAGCTAGGTCGACTTAACATAACTCTACCGGAACAATCTAAGAATACGAAACAAATAAGATTGACTTTATTAACTGGTCGAAAGGGTTGTCAAGGAGCAAAAAACCTTGAACCGTTGTACAAAAGGGCGAGCTATGATGTTTCGTGAGTTCTCGGGGGTTTAACATCAGAGATCATATCAAGCGTGCGGTCGTGCAGTCTTGACCTTCTTATCCAAGTTCTTAACCTCCTTCTCTAAAGAGTTCCAAATATAGAGTTGTGTCCCTTGGACCACTCAGACCAATATTCTTCAAGCTTGCCCTGCTAAAGTAGTCTCAAACATTGTTCCTGCACTTAGTCTACTAGTATAGTAATGTCTAGAGCATAACTAAGGAAGTCAAAATACGAGTTCGGTAATTTCGATTTTGGTATTGGCTATTTATTTATTTTAGGTGTTTTGTGAAAGGTTGTTTGGACCTGGTAAATATATTATTCTAGCGTGTATTGGAATCTCGGCAGGGGGGATAACAAATACTATTATGTTTACAGCCTCCAGGTAATGGAACAGTTTATAGTCAGTTACGTGCCCGCAGTTTTTACACCGTTCAACTTAATGAGTTGTTGACTGGATGAGACGCTTGCTCTTTGAGTAAGTCGTTTGCTTCGGATTTAGACGTGTTCTCTTTTAATGAAATTACTGCTCAAAGAATAAGACGGTTGTCCACCAAGCAATACAATTTTAACTCGAGGACCCTTGCGTTTTCCTTAAGAGATGGGCACATAAGCTTCAAATTTGAGAACTAATATTGCCGTATCTGGTCTTATTAGGTCACAGGTGATGAGCGTAGTCCTGCAATCTGTACATGAACAAAGTATGCTTGGTACGGTATTCCTACGAATGGTCCCATTTCCGAATGGCTATTGCTGTGTATTTGGATAATTACAACACTAAAATATTAATCATGACTTGTTTAATTTAACTTAACATGACTGACTCTATGAAGAAGAGTTGAACAAGGGAAGTAACAACAAGGGAAGTAACTAAGTAAATATCAGAACACAATACACAATTAATCAGTACTGTGGCTTACAGTCTAATGACACAACAGCTATGACAGGTTTAAACTTTTCTAATTTCAGAATAAATTTTGTAGGAGGTAGAGATGAATTATTCCCTACATTTTTAAGTATGTTGCATATTGAGAGAAGAACACCAATTCCTTCTATAATAGTTCTGGTAACTTTTATAATATATTATACAACAATGGTGGTCAAGGAGAGGGGGATTCCCTGAGTTTTATGCCATGGGACCAGAAAACTACTGTTTTTCAGACCACCACATTTTTTTTTTGTTTTGGGTTTTATTCTTACCTCGTAGAATGCTCCATTGGGTGTCACCTGACAATCATCTTAGCTTGTTGTTTATATCAAGGGCTGTAACTCACTAATTTATTTCAAGTTACACTCACTTTTCGCCGTCTATAAGATGTGCCATATCATTTTAGTCAAGCGCTGAAACTCTTTATAATTTTTCAGGCTGGCCTATAATTACTTTACTCTATGCATATACGATAATCCATATAGGTTTAGTCAAGGGCTGTAACTCTTTGTAATAATATATTCCAGGCTATATTTACCTTACTATATATGTGTATATATGACGTCCTGACCATACTCGGTGCCTATTCGTTTTTCCGGTCCTGTGGAGAAATATTAGCTATTTGTGGAATGTTTAGGTTACGAAGACTCCACCCTGCTACAGAGAAAACATTTTTAGTAAGATACAACACCTGTGATATGTTCGTATTTCTTAAGCGACTCCACTAGATGGGTGGTGGCCGTGGGCATAAGTTGCTTGGGGCCATTTCCCCTAGAATGTTATATTGAAGATATGCTCTCCTGCATTCTGACATTCCTATTTAAGTCAATTTAATGCCTGCTAATGGAAGATTTAAAGATTAAAGATTTGTTGTCGGAAGACAATTCAAAGCCATGTTCCGTTAACATCGGTACGATAATTAATCACGGGTCATTATCATCGTACCGTTGATAAAGGAATATGGTCCGACACAAAGTATCATGTTATTTTCCAGGCTCCAACCATCATTCCAGTGTTTTATTTACTAGCCTATGGGTGTATTATCCTAGTCGCGATCATCTCAGACCCTGCCACCTTCTTACCTGGTATCATAATAACATCACTAGGTGTTCCTGTCTACTGGATTACTAAAACTACATGGTGGAGACGTGGTCTTGCTGTTACTTTCAGTGGTAGGTTTCTTTCCCATCGAGAACTTGATGTGTGCCTTAAAGTGGCAGTCTGCTTTTTTGTGACTTGGGAAATTTTGGTGCTTGAAAACTTTACCAAAATCTTGAGAAATTTGTTAATTACATTTTCTGAGAGTTTTACTTAAATATTTCTTGCAGTTAATGTCTAGAACGCGGAAGGTTTACGTTTTATAATAATTTGAAACTTGTTGTGTACTTTCAGATAAAGTGATCACAGTTTTCCAGAAATTATTCTTGTGTGATATTGCTACTAAAATTATTACAGAAGAATAAACTTTCATTTTCATCAACAGCAATCTTGTTTCTGGGAGAGGGGTAATATAGACAAAAGCCTGTCCCCCAATCCTTTTCTATTTGAATAAAATATTGTTTACAAAAACAATCTTGTTTCTTATTCAGAGAAGGATATACATGTAGTCCATAGAACGTTCTGTTAGCTAGCGGGACACCACCACAATTACAGGAGGGACAGACTCGAGCACCAACTGTCTACCAACTGTCTACCAACTGATTCTTATGATAGATGGATTTCACTTTTATTTTTTGCATGTTTACATGAACAAATGAAATGAATATCAGATGAGAAATGAAGTCAAAATGAACACAAAGAAAGATTTTTTGCGTATTATTTACAGTGAAAGATTTTTTCCAAATTTGTTAGAAAGGGTGCGCACTCTATTCACAATTATACAGTATGTTACAGTGAAGGAAGATATTGAGTTGTATTTACAATATGGAATGAATATGAATTAAAATCTTTATTGTTCAAGGAAAGATGAAAGAAGGCACTGCTCCAACAGTAACACAGGTTCTGACACAAATCACCAATCCAAGTTTATCAGCATATGATTTTCATGTCAATATCGTTTGTTATAAGCCTGATAACATATCAATAATATACTGCAATTACATACTATACCCAAAATGAAATGATGTTGTATGTCTTAAATTTCTGCACCTGATTCCACTAATGAAGACTGGCAATGCCATGCAGTGTTAGCTAAGGGAAATTTTGTCAGAACAGTGGCGTTTTCCTTAACGTACAAAACCTGTACCACACGATACCACACATATATCACACTGGGTTATTGTCCCATCACAACAGCTAGACACTTCTTCAATGTCAGTCCCTCAAACCAGCTATCGAGTTATCAGGAGCTGCTCGCTTGTGGCTACAGCAACTACGAGTTCTTGTCCAATGGAACAATATGTTCCACACACTCTATCACAATTCAATTTTTTGGCAACTCATAATTGGAATGTTATTCTACAGTTCAAAATTCTCTAGCATTTATGTCCAGTTCCAAACAATCAATCAAAACTGAACTCTTTCATAATTGGAATGTCGCTCTACAGTTCAAAATTCCAGTTCGTCCAATCATTGTTGAGGTTTTAAATATGTCGTATTATCCATGACAACTCTAGCAATGGCTGCTCCGAAATAATCAATAATATATTCTGATCCATCGGCTGGTTTTAATGTCTAAAAACAGAAATGAAATAAAAAATTAAAAAAGACATTTTGAAGCGAATATTCACCATATCTTTCAATTTCAAACTTAACTGTCGATGTATCCTTAAAATACATACTGTAGTCTTGGTTTATTGTGTTCAATTAAAACATAAAGTGAAATTTTACAGATTTCAAGTTATCCATTGCATTTTTTGGTGTGTTTCACAGATGCCACCAATGAGAGTCAACTTTCTAACCCCTTCATCCAATGCTGACAAAACTCATACCCTACCTGTGTAGCTATGAGTAATATATCAACTAGTTGTCCAAGAAACATGAAACCTAGAGTACCAAACTTTAATAAACCTGAAATAAATTTAAATTCTAGTTATATTACATCATGAATATTAATTACCTCAGTCCCAAATACCAAGTTTACCAGACAAAGGGAAACTCAGTAGAAATATGTAACGGTTGACCAGACCATGCATTAGAACAGGAGATAGACATAGATTTATTACAATTGTCTAGTTACCAAGAGGGACCGACTTAATAAAAGGTGTAGTTTTTGAATGATAACACAGTAAAAATATATGATGGGTAGGAGCTTTTGAGAAGACCATGGATTCAAACAGAACAGTCAAGAAAATATATACATATACATGAATAACTATTGTCTTTTTGAGTCTAATTGTCCAAGAGTAACTGACTAACCTATAGCAGGATAACCTAAGTAGAATCTATCAACACCAAACATGCCCAGAAACACCGACAATAACAAGGCTGTTTCAAATGATGTTCCACTCCTGGAAATAAAACAATAACTTGATAAAATATTTAAAGTTAAAATTATAAAATTTGAATCTTTACGTCCTGGGTTTTATTATCCGTCAGTTCATGAAAGCCTGATGATCTTCAATGAGTCATCTTTCCTCACTATTCCACTTGACTCAGTTGTAAATAGGCATGGATAAAACCTAAAAGATCATTGCCAAGAGGTTTGACCAAGGTCCAGCTGGAAGAACAGATCTATGAGTCTAAATGGTTATCCTTGTAAAATAGGGTTCATTTTTTCTTTTAAGCTGTTTCATACAAAATTTTGATATAAACCTTTGATTATTACTCATAATCAAAATCAGGCAAATAAATAAACAATACTTACACCCATTTACAGGATATATTTTTATGAAAACCAACCGTTGAACCATTGTGAAGCTGTCCACTACAGAATATTTTAGGAGCTGGTCTACAGGCAACTGAAAAATACAATATTGTAGTGTTTTGACAATTTGACTATTAATTTATGGCAGTGACAGTGAGAAAAGGAGGAAGAGTTTACCTCACTAAATAGTATATCAGAAGAAAGGATAAGAAGAGTATGATATGTTTACGATGAAACCTACCCTGAACTGTTCTAGTCTGCTCACTACAGTTTTTAGCCTGTTGAGTTTCTGAATCTATCACTGGGTCATCACAGAAGTATCTTATTTATTGGTTCAGAAAATAACAAATAATCAAATGAATTATATAAAATATGGTATTCTTCAAATCAAATCAGGTCATTAAACCTACTGTGTCTAATGAAAGAACAGAAACATATTGACAAATCTGTCCCTTTAGCACAATAGTGGAAATCAGGTACCCAACTCTTGGGCTACTGATCAGCGAGATGAAAAGCTATAATAGAAAAGCTAAAACGAAAGTAAAAAGGATACTGTCCGAGTAAAAGATCTTTACAATCAATTTCTGGCCAATCCGATTGAATTGAACTGTTTTCCGAATCAGATAAACTAACAGATATTATGATTAAAACAATGATCCACCGAAATTGTGGTAATTGTAGTTCCATTTTGGTATAATCAAAGTCTGTTGTGTAGAAGTTTACATTTACATTTTTTCCATTCATGGAGCCTAACAACATCTCGAAATGAGGTAAATGAGCGGTAACAAATAGTTCAGAAATCTTTCCTCATTTTCTGCTGACGTCAAATCAAGAAATGATCCTAAACTTTTGTGAGTTTTGAAAACCAATTTTAAGATGTAAATGAAAGATAAACACGTTTTTTGAGCTAAACTCATACTTTAAAAATTTAAAACAAAATTATTACTACGCCTAATAATTCCTGTAGCAGACAACAACTTCCGGTTATGGCGGACGAAAGTTGATCAAAACGATGAGAACGAAGAAAAGTTTGTTTTGAGTGGTTCGTGTGCTATCAAAGACAATGTCGTGCAGTAGATTGCAACTGACACTGGCTATTCTAAAGCCAGACGTCACTGCACGACCTCACATTGTAAAGGTAAAGAAACATCGCGACATTTCTATACTAAAAGTGCCCTTCCTTTCACTAGTTTCAGTTTCACTTGATCTGAATTCAACAATGTTTGACATGCTGAGACATGATACTGATCTGTGATCGAGGTGACTCTTAGAAGCACAGGCACAGGCACAGGCCCAGGCATCAGAATTGTTTCTTACTTGAGGAGAATTCTAACCCACCCAATTGCCCAGCAGATGAATAATCATTGATGGTGAAAATATGCCTAATTGCCTAATAGACATTTGATACGAACAGAATAGAAGAAGCTAACAAGTCGACTGTTTAGAACTGACAGTGTTGTGTATGATCAAAGTTTGAAATTATATTTTCAGGAAATAAAAAGCATGATATTAAGGAAGAAATTTTATTTTGTCGAAAGTAAAAAAATGAAACTGGCCCAGTCTGAGATAGAAACATTTTACAAAGAGCATGAAGGTTTGTATTTTTACACCTATTTTCGCAGTAGAAATATGAATAGAGACTCCAGGTGAATGTTTTGGTGGTACCACAATGCTCATTAACCATTTTATCACTGAAACATGAGAAAGACATCTAATATTTGTAAAAAGCAATTCTAGTTCTATGGATATGTTTACATGGATGTCTGAACTTTGTAATTAATAGCACTAGTTTGTATCGATTGTCTGCTAAGGCCTGGTGTTTCAGGATGGGTAAACATAAACACAAGGGTATTGCTTAGGAAATTAGTCTAATTTTTCTTTTCCAGAGAGCTGACTCTCAACTCCTTTCCCCTGTATTATATTGATGGTTCATAGTTTTATTTTCTTTTTTAGGAAAATTCTTCCACAACAGACTTGTGAACTTTATGAATAGGTAATAAAGCGTTTTGTTCTATTTCTAATAATATTTCCTCAATTCTTACTCATCTAAGCAGTAAACCATTCCAAATTATATCAAATTTGATGTATAAATATCAAATCTATAAGCTTATGTTTTTTAGAATTATAAACTATACATATTGCTAATATATGTCTCTTGTTAACTTCTCTGACAATTCGATCAAAGACTGCTTTGTTTTATGCTCTGTTTGACCATGGTCATGCCTCCCAAAAGTTTTTGTTATAAAACAAAAATTCTTCAGCTATATTTATTTACAGTGGAAGTATTTGGGCCCATATTTTAGCTCGAGAAGATTGTATCAAAGAATGGAGGAAACTGATGGGACCAACTAAAGTTTTGAAGTGAGTGAAGATGCCTTTATAATAGCTGATTTCTCCATTTAAGTGCCTAATTCTTAATTTATTTTTGAGGGGGTGGCATACTTGCTCTGAATTGATACTGATTTATTCCATATTTTTTCTACATTGTTAAGAATATGGTTTTAAGTCATGTAAGATTGAAGTTTATTTGTTTTGTGATTCTAGAACTGTTTTTGAAGAACCTAATTCTATACGAGGAAAATTTGGTTTAACAGACACCAGAAACTGTACACATGGCTCAGGTATTTCTTTACTTTCATCACCATCATGTGTGATGCCTTCCAATTGTCCACTCTTATTGGGCAGTTTTTAGCTTTCTGAAAATTTGTATTTTATTATCTCCCTTTAGTGTGTCAAGGGAAATAACTCTTGAAAGATTAAATGTAACAATCTTCGGAAGATTCAGCATTAATTTTCTTTAGATATAAAAGCTATACAATATATTGAACCAATTTCCACTTGAGCTGCTAAAATTGACAACAGTCTCTAGACAAATACGATATTAGCAAGGTGCTTACATGTTTTGTGTGGTGTCTATTCATTTTGTTGAAAAGTAGGACGTACAACTCCATTCATTTCATTTTTATTCATTTTGTTAAAAGGCATTTGGAAAGATAATGATTTTGTTAACTTGTGCTACAAATTTTATTTCAGATTCTGAAGAGACAGCGAAAAGAGAAATTAAATTATTTTTTCCTGAATTTGACGAAGAAAAATGGAGAGCCAATGATGAGGACTATTTTATAAACAAAAAAGTGAAATTTGATAGAAAACTTAATGTCCATGTTCCCATGAAAGATAGTTGATAGTTTTCTCAAAGTTAGGGATTTTTTTAATGGACGTCACTGGTGTTCAATCAGTTGACGTTCGTTCAGAAAGAGTTAAGAAAAATTGCTGAAATGTTTTAGTGTGTGTTTGATATTGGCCCCCTGTTGTTTTTACTAATTGTTAAAATAACAACAGGTACGGCCTAAATCCATTGGTCAAATCTCAGTCCATGTGAAGCTATAAGTCTGACAAGACGATTGCATCATGGGATTTGATTTTATTAAGTTTATTAGCTCAGGTAAAGATGTTAGATAAAGAGTTCTATGTGTATTATGTTTAATATATGCAAGGTAGTAAAGAATGGTTGTGCCCAGCATTTCTAGATTGATAATGTTTTTTGTATAATTGTGAATGTAATGCACACCAATTTTTACCTTCCAGTAAATCTAGTTCTTGCTTGACTATTTTCACAAGTAACAAGCCTGCATGTCCTAAAAGGTTCCGTAACCAGTAGTTAACATGAGGTAGGAAAAACGTCTCTTATAGACACCTGATATCGCATAATGAAATACTTACTCACTTACAATTGATATACTTTATCATATAAAAAGTTTATTAGCTGCTACCAATGTTTCGCCAATATGTTGTTTTGTTTTTCAGGTTTCAATTAGATTGTTAGTACTTGGTTTATTTACTACAAGCTCAATACATTTTGAATTTTTTTTGTGTTTCACT